TGAGAATTTTGCTTGCAGGTGCATGCCTAGTCCCTCAAGAGGCCAGAAGAGGGTGCTGGATCCCTGGGAACTAGTTACCAATGGTTGGGAACTGAACCTAGATCTTCTAAGAACAGCAATTCCTCTTAACCACTAAGCCATATCTCCAGCCCTTAATAAATCTTTTTAAAGAAAAGTTATTTCTGGGCAGGGGATATAGATCAAAGGTAGAGTGCTTGTCTAATCTGTGAGGCCCTGGGTTTAATCCTCAGCACTGCAAACAAACCATCCTGTCTCTACAAAGGCTCTTTCTTCATTGCTCTTTCCCTCCAGTTACCTGTTTGCCTGCTTTGAAATGGTTGTCTAGTCAATACCCCCATTTTCTCTTTTCCCCCTCCATTCTTTTAACTTTTTTATTTTGTGAGTGTAAGTGGTTGCCACATTGCACACATGGTCCGAGGAAAAGTCTCAGTGGTCCTCTTCTGCCACCTTGTGGGATCCCGGGATCTAACTGAGCTGTCTTGCTAGCCCTCCATTCTTTGCAGGCTTTTGCTCCTGTCAACTTACTGTATCTGTTCTTTTCACGATCATTGATGATCACTATTTTTCTTTAATCCATCATGTCAATTCTCAGCCTATTAATGTTAGTAGCTCCTCCTCTGCCTAGCAACACTTTGGTCTTAAGGTCTCAGTACTCTCTTGGTTCCCTCCTTGCTGACTTTGCTCTTCTTCAGTCTCCTTGAAAGCTTGGCGTTCCCCCTGGCTCATCCATGGACTTTTCTCTCCTTTAAAAAAATATTTTAGCCAGGCATGGTTGTGCGTGCCTTTAATCCCAGCACTCTGGAGGCAGAGGCTGGTGGATCTCTGAGTTCAAGGCCAGCCTGGACTACATAGAGTGTTTGGCTCCCAAGTGCTGGGATTAAAGGCATGCGCCACCACGCCTGGCCCGCCAGTGCTCTTTAACCACTGAGCCATCTCTCTAGCACATCCTCCCCCCTTTTTTTTAAGTAAATTTTTTTTGTTTGTTTGTTTTCTTTGGTCTTTTTGAGACAGGATCGCCCTCAGCTGGCCTGGAACTCACTATGTAGGCCAGACTGGCCTTGAACTCACAGAGATCCGCCTGCCTCTGCCTCCTGGGTGCTGGGATTAAAGGCATATGCCATCACGCCTGGCTCATGTCTAGTTTTTTATTTTTATTTTTTTATTTTATTTTTTTAAACAAATAATTTATTGAGAATTTCATGCATGTATATAAGGTGTTTTGATCATCACTATGTAGACCAGGCTGGCCTTGAACTCACAGAGATCCGCCTGCCTGTGCCTCCCAAGTGCTGGGACTACAGGCATGCGCCACCATGCCCGGCTCGCCTGGCTACTTTTAAGTAAAAAAATTTTTTTCTTTTGTCTTTTTGAAACAGGGTCTCCTTATAGCTCCAGCTGTCCTGGAATTCACTATGTAGACCAGGCTGGCCTTGAACTCACAAAGATCTGCCTGCTTCTGCCTCCCAAGTGCTAGGATTAAAGATGTGTGCCACCATGCCCAGCTTAAGTAAAAATTTTAATTATTTCTTGTGTGTGTGTGTTTTTTCCATGGCATGAGTATGGAGGTCAGAAGTCCACTTGTGGGAGTTGGTTCTTTCCTTCTACCATGTGGCTCTCAGGGATTGAACTCAGGTTGTTTTGGTGACAGGAGCCTTCACCTATTGAGCCATCTCACTAGCCCATCTCTCTTTTCCTTCCTTTCTGACTTCACATACTCCTTTGACCTTCTTCTTTAACATTGTCATCATCATGATGGTCTCATGTAGCCCAGGCTGTCCTGGAACTTACTCTGCAGCTAAGGATGATCTGAAATCCTGATCCTCCTGCCTCCTCTTGCCTTCTTGTCTCAAGTGCTGGGATTACAGGCATCTACAACTATCCCCAGCTTTCATTTCTTTTTTTGGTGCAGGGAAATTCAAGCCAGGGTCTCTAGGCAAGCTCCACTACTGAGCTACACTGGCTTGGCCAATCTGTCTGTCTCTCTTTTTTATTTAGAAACAATTTCTCACTGGATAGCTCAGGGTGGACTAGAACTTGTGATCCTCCTAAGTCGCTCCAGTGCTGGGATTACAGGTAGTTGCCACCAAACTGGTCATCTCTCTCTGTTTTTGATGGTTTCCTATCTCATTCTGAGAAAATGTGAAAGACCTTTGATTAGTCCACAGATTACTCCATGACCTGACTTACCCTTCCTACCTGCCGATTGCTTTAAATCACACTCCCACATAAGAACCTTTTGTACCTCTTCTTTCCTCCTCAATCGTTCTTGACCCAGATAGCTGTGTGATTCAGTTCCTCACCTCTTCTGAGCTCATTTAATTGCCACATTATCAGAAAAGCCTTTACTCCTCTAATGTATCTAAAATGACAATCCTCCTGTGCTGGTTAGTTTCTTGTTAACTTGACACAAGGCAGCCTCACCTGGGAAGAGGGAACCTCAACTGAGGAAATACCTCCATCAGATTGGCCTGTGGCCATGTCTGTGAGGCATTTTCTTAACTGTTGATTGATGTAGGAGGGCACAGCTCACTGTGCACAGGGTCATCCCTGAGCAGGTGGGCCTGGCAGTATAACAGCAACAAGCCAGGGGTTGGAAACTAGTAACAGTGTTTCTCCCTGCCTTTGCTTCAGTTCCTGCCTCCAGGTTCCTGAGCTGCCCTCCCTCAGTGATGAATTATAACCTTGGAGTAGTAAACTGAAATAAACCCTTTCCTCTTCAAGTTGCTTTTGGTCAGATTTTTATCACAGCAACAGAAAGCAAACTAGAACTCCCATACTTCCTGTCTTCCTTCCCTGCTTTGAAATTTTTTGAGTTAGTATACTTCTTTCCTGGCTTTGAAATTTTGTTTTTTAACTAATATACTCCCCTTCTTAGAGCCTTTTAGTTTTATAGAAAAATTCCCCTCTTGTCAATCTCCCTTATTAATATCTTGAATCACTGGGGTACATTTCTTTCAATTGACCAACCATATTGATGCATTACTATGAACTAAAGTCCACTTTACATTAGGCTTCACCCTTTGTGTTTACTCTGTGGATTTTGACAAACATAATATCATGTATCTACTATTCAAGTGTCATACAGCATAGTTTCAATGACCCCAAAGTCCCCTGGGCTCTATCTAGTCATCCTTCCTTCCCTCTACCTAAACCCTTGGCAACCACTGCTCTATTTATTGTCTCTATAGCTTTTCTTTGTCTAGAATGTCTTGTAGTTGGAATGGAGTAGTAGGGAGGCTTTTCAGATTGGCTTCTTTCAACATTAACAGTAATATGCATGTAAGGGGAACTCCTGCCTTTCATTGCTTTGCTTGTTGCTTTTCCTCCTGGAAGTTATCACTTTTAATAGGCTTCTGTAGATTTTACTTATTATTTTAGAGATGAGATCTCACTATGCTTGTTTGAGTTTCTGGAATAGCTGAGACCACAGACTTGTAACACAATGCCCAGGCCACACCAGGGATTTTTGTTGCTGTGTTCATTGCTGTATCTCCAGTGTCCAAAATAGATGGTTCTTAAGAAACACTAGCTGAATTAAAAAATATATTTTTAGTTTTTCCTTCCTTCCCTCCCCCAACTCCAGGGTTTCATATAGTTTATTGGTCTGGAACTTGCTATGTACCTGAAGCTAGCTTTGAATTCTAGATCCTCCTGCATCATCTACCAGGTGCTGGGATTACAGGAGTCCATCACCACACCTAGTTCTAAAAGAATTTCTTAAATGAATAAATAGTCCATTTAACTGAAGAACAAACTTTTATTCAGAACTCTCTTGGCAAGAGAATCTGTAAATTACAGAGTTTACCATTCTGTACTCTTAAAATTTTAGCTCTACCATTGCCGTTGACTTTAGATGTCGCCTAATTTAACCAGTTTGTGCTTCTGTTTCCTCCTCAATAGAATGGATATAATTAACAGTACGTTCCTCTAGAATTGTGGTAAGGATTGAAAATATAAAGTTCTAATCGTAGTACATGTATAAGAATTATTAACCCTATAGGAAGACTCAGAGAAAGATGTGGGAATGGAATTCAGTCTGGTTACATACAGTAGGGAATTTTTTTTTCTTTTTTTGATGCAGAATCTCATATATCCCATGTTGGAATCAGATTCCCTATGTGACCAAGACTGAATGAATTCAATTTTCCTGCTTCCACCTCCCAAGTGCTAGAATTATAGGCATTAGTCAGCAGTCCAGGTTTATGAGATACAAGCACTACCCTCTGAGCTACATACCCAGCTCTCCAGCAAACAACTCTCAATTAGTTATTCAGAGGAAGAAGCACTGTGAGGTGGAGAACGTTCCATCAGAGAAAGATGGCAAGTGGGGTGGAGGTAGGGCTACACACTGCAGTCATGTTTGCCACTTCACCAAGCACTTCTACATCCTAAACTTTTCATTCTCACAAAAATAATCTTGTCAGGTAGATGTCATAATTCCCTTTTGTTATTATTATTATTATTATTTTGGACTTCTTTTTGAGACAGGGTCTCCCTGTAGTCCCAGCTGGCCTGGAACTTGATATGTAGACCAGGCTGGCCTGGAACTCACGGAGATCCACCTGCATCTTCCTCCAGAGTGCTGGGATTAAAGATATGCACCACCATGACTGGCCCCTATAATTTCTTTTATTCATGACAAAATAGGTGCAGGGAGTGGAGCTACTTGCCTGATACCATCATATGGAAAGCCGTAGCTCCAAGATTCCCATCCAGAAGCTCTGATTCAAGGCAAACTATATACTAAGTAGCTTTCAGGGTGTCTGTGAGAGTTCTGGGTCCTGGCACCCAAGGGGGCAGGTAACATAGCTTTTATTTATTTTTTATTTTTTGGTCTTTTTGAGACAGGGTTTCCCTGTAGCCCCAGCTGTCCTGGAACTCATTATGTAGACCAGGCTGGCCTTGAACCCACAGAGATCCGCCTGTCTCTGCCTCTCGAGTGCTGGGATTAAAGGCGTGCGCCACCACGCCCAGCAGGTAACATATCTTTTAAAAACATCACCAATTCTGGAACTGGTGGCACAGGAGTGTAACCCTAGTTACTAGGAAGGCAGGAGGATCGAATGTTCAGGGCTTAGCCTGGACAACCCTGTCTCAAAATAAAAAAGTGTGAGATGGGGCTAACTGTGTTAGAGCGCTAGGTTCAACCCCCAGTATCGCAAACACAAAAACAAAAACCTCATCACGTAGCTCAGTGGTAGAGGGCTAGCCTGGAGTGGGTGGGGCCTCTGGTCCCACCCCTAAGACCGCAAAAAAGTAAAACACTTGAGAAACCCTTGCCACTTGGCTGTGCTCGCCGGGGGCTGCGACGACGCGGCTAGGCTGTGTGCCAGGTGGCACAATGGGCTTGCAGAGGGAGCCTAGGAGACCTGATGGGAGCGTGTCAAATCAATTCTTTTCCCCAGCAACTCCTCCTTTTCTCCGCCTCCAGGGGCGGGGCAGCAAAGCGCGGGAAAGCTCAACCTAGATCCAAAAGCCAGCCCGTGCTGGGGGCGGGGAAAAAAAGAGAGCTCTTAAATGGGAAATAGATCCAGGAATCCCTCCCTCCAGTGCTTAAGAGGCTCATCACTATACTACCTTAACCTCCCTTTGGCTGTGGCCCAGGCCACGCCAGCACTCCCAACGTCACCTCCCCCACTTCCGGTCCGCAAGCTCCCAGGTCCCGGTTCCGGTTTCTTCCAGTCTAAACCCCTTGCTTGTCCGGCTCTCCCGTAGGAGGAGCAGTGGGTGGTGCATACGCCCAGGGCTGGCCCACGCGAGCGCCGTGTCCGTCCAGGTTACAACATAATTCACTAAGTAGGGGGAACGCGAGGCCCGGGTCCCCGGGATGACGTAATGTTTGGGGCTGGCGTTCGATTTCGTGGACCCTGCACCGCATCTTTACGGTCGTAGTTCAGCCTGAGGAACCTGCACGAACACCCCTAAATATCTGGGGCGGACGAGGCTCTCTTGCAGTGCTACCACACGGTCACAGTTCTTTTAAGTGTGCATATGTGAACCAAGCCTCCAACTTCCACCCGCCACCAGGGGCCGAGGGGGCGGCCACGCACCTGGCTCGTCACCCGTCAGTCCGAAAGCGAGAAGCAGGCGGGCCTCTTGCAGAACGACAGCAGCGGTGGCCAATGGCTTTCGAGTCGCGCAGATGGGGCAGGTGGACTCCGGAGCAGCCAATGGGAAGACGTTTCTTCAGAGGGTCGGGGCCCCTCGGCCAGTGACGGTGAGAAGACTTCGAGGGGCCAGGACCGAGCGGCAGGATGGAGGGCCAATCCAGAGCGGAGATGGGCGGGGCTCAGGGGTGACCGACAGGGACATTGACCAATGGCGAGTATGAAAGCGGGCAGCCCAGACCCGGAGCGCCGAGGGAGCTGAGGGAGAGGGGAGGCCGAACCGGAGAGAAGCAGGAAGTAGCGGTGGCCGCGGGGAGGGCGGCGGCAGCAGCAGAGGTGGCGGCTGGAGCGGGGTGGAGGCCGCGGTGTCTCAGCCCGCAGCAGGAACGGAACAAGTAAGCGTGCCCGGGGTAAATACCCGCCCTTGGCTCCGCCCCCTGGGGGGGCGGGTAAATGCTCCCGCCCCTCCCCCACTTGGTCAACTACCCCCTTCTCCACGCCGCCCCCTGGGGCGGCTGCTCGCTAGGCCGGGTGGCGGTCTGCATCCTCTGGGGCGAATGGTGGGAACTCCTAGTCTGTTGAAAGCACAGCCCTTAGCCCGGTAAACGTGGAAGGAGGGTCGGGGACCCCAAGTCCTGGCGCCCCTATAGACCGAGAGGCAACCGAAGTGCGGCCGGGGGATTGGAGGCTGCGGGATGTCGCGACCCAAAATGGTGTCCGTGCCGGGCGGTGGGGGCGGGGGAGCTGGGCCGTGCGGGAGCGGAGCCTGCATCCGGACCTGGCACGGGTCAGCGTCCGGGCCCGGCCTGGACTCGAGCTGGCGTCCCGGCCCGCCGCGCGCCCTCTAGTCACTCGCGCCTCGCGAGCCTGTGGGAGTCCGTGCGGGGAGGAGGCTGCGCACCGCACGCAGGAGCAGGGGACGGGGTCCGACTCGGGACCGACCTGGCTGCGGAGCCCGGAGTCACGCAGGGACCGCCCCCTCTTCTGCCCCCTCTTCCCACGCGCCACACTCCCTCCGAGTCCTGGCCCCCGAGGTGCAGCGCCGCAGCTCCTAAAGGGCCTTGCCTGGCTGAGGCCTTCAGTCCTCAGCCCGTGAAAGTGAAAGAAGCACCTCTCGCCTCAGTTTACCCTCTAGTTTTAATGTACTTCCCGTCCCCTACCCGAAGCCCAGGACTTGCTTCTCGCTCCAGCCCTCAGCAGATGGCAGAGACTTAATTCCTCCCGCTGCCCAAGTTGGCCGCCACCTAATCGCCCCTGGCCGGGCTCTGGCCCCTTGCTTTGCCCTGCACAGCAGGCCTTGAGCTTGGACAGAGGGCAGTGGAGTCCCTATCCCACCCGGGTCTGTTTACCCACTTCCTGTTAAGCCTCTTTCTTTTGGGGAAGAACCAAAGAAGAAGGGGCTGAGGGAGGTGGTAGCCTCTCAGACCTGGCGCTCAAGCTGCAAAAAGGCCCCGGCTGAGTGGAGGAGCCTCTTCGGCCTTGAGCCTCTCTGCTTGGCTGCATGCGTGTCTGCTCCAGGTGGCTATCGGGTGACCTCTAAGTCACTTGCATGCCAAAGGGAGGTGGTTGGGAAAGGCTAATTCGCAGGTGTTTTCTTGGTCCCCACTGGTCTGTGCTCTGGTCTTCACCAGTATGTGTCTCCACCAACCCACTGCTTGGGAGCCTGAGGGAAGGTAGCCATGTCTCCCGACTTGAGCCATCCAGGCTGAGGAGGGACCTGGTGGTTAATCTGGGCAGAACCAAGGGCTTTGTGTGTAGAATTAAGTCGTGGGTAAGGTGCAAGGAGGATTCCCTTTCTTCCTCTAGTTGGTACCCTTGTCCCCCACCCCCACCTTGGTCGGTGCAATGCCAGCCGCCACCTGCTGGGACAATCTCCAGTTACAGTCTGAAGGCTGGACAGAGGTGAGCGAATTGGCCCTGGGAAAAGGCTTACATCCTAGGTAGGGCATATGTAAAGGGAGAGAATTCTTCCCTTCTCCATTGCTTCTTCGTAGGTACAGAAACACTTATGGGTAAGATCTGGTGGGGAATAGACCTGGGCCTCCCACAGTCTTTGAATTGTCCTCCTTGTTTCTTAGGTACCATGTAAGTCTCCTGGGACTTTTTAAAAAAAATCCTCACACTGGGCCAGGTTGATGTTAGGCAAGACTTCCTAGGCTCCAATTGCCCAAGAAGAATGAGTTTGAGTTAGGGGGTTTACTGGGGTGAGGGGCTCAGAGCAGAAATGATGTGGGGAGGAACAGCTTTTCCCTTTATGGAAGTTGTGCTGGATAAACTTGTACCCTGGAGTTTTAGCCCTGAGAGAGAACAAGGCGGGGAGGAGGGAGGACATACTCTGGGGAGGGTAAGTAAGCAGGCAGCAGGTGTTTGTGACAGGAGAGAACTCCGCTGGGGCTTTTGTGACCATTTTTTTTCTCATCCTCTCTTTTCTTTGTCTTTTTCTGTGTTGCATTCTTTCTTGAGTCTTTTTCTCCCTGCTGACCAAGCTAGACTCCAAGTGTCAGCAGTTGCTCCAAGTATTTCACACACAACTTAAATGACCCCTGAGGCTTACCTCTGACCCCAGCCCTAAATGGCCAGTATATGTTCCTTCCCAGTGCAGCCAGCATGACCTCACATGTCCTTATTTGACCCAGCTGTAATAATAAATTCTGGGTCTGGCATTCATGGTTGCAATTTTATGTTTCTAGAATAACCTTAGATTACTTGTCTACTCTTTGAGCAGTGAAAGTAAGCAGTGAAATAGCTTGCTTGTACAGCAGGCCTGTGATGATGCTAATCTACAACGGTTCAAGTCTTGGCTTTAGTCACTGTTTCTTTATATAGATGGCCTTTCAGATATCTATGGACCCCAGAAGGTACATGAGGATTATGAATTGATCCCATGCTGATGCAAATAGGCCCTGAAACCTAGAGCATTGTATCTGTCATCCTCAGTATTTCAGTTGGTTGGTTCATTGGTTCTGGCTGGGAACAGGAAGGGTAGAGCTGGTTTCAGCTACAGTTTCCCTGAGAGCCCTTCACTTCTGTTACTCTTTTCTATTTCTGAGCATTTCTTTTTCTTCTTTTCTCTGGGTTTTGATTCTTGTGCTACCTAGTATGTTCTCACTAACCTGATGTTAGAGTTTGGCACACTGAGCACTGCCAGCAGCTCTCTAGGATTCATAATATGGTGGAAAGGTACCAAGTTGGAGGGAATAGATATGAAGGTCCTGAGGGAGGAGGAGGTCCAGGGTCTCTATTTTTGACACCTGAGTTTCTCCTCACTCTTACTGTTTTCATCAGGTCTGGGACCTGACACTATGGGGGACATGAAGACCCCTGATTTTGATGATCTCCTTGCTGCTTTTGACATCCCTGACATTGATGCAAATGAAGCCATTCATTCTGGCCCAGAAGAAAATGAGGGACCAGAAGGCCAAGGGAAGCCAGAACCCGGTATGGAAGGTGTTTCTGAAGACACAACAGCAGCAGCTGCTGGAGATGACCCTGAGAGTCCAGCCCAGTCCTCTGCTCAAGACCTGCTGCAATCACCAGATATGTCTACAGTCAGTGTGATTGTGAAGAACACAGTGTGTCCAGAGCAGTCTGAGACCCTGACTGGGGATTCAGGAGAAGAGACCAAGGCTGTGGATGTAACTAAGGAAGGACCTGTATCTTGTCTGATGCAGAATGGATTTGGGGGCCCTGAGCCATCCCTCTCAGAAACCCCCCATTCTCCAGCTCCTCCCAGTGAGGCTACCTGGAAAGAAAAAGCCATGGAAGGCAAAGCTCCCTTGGACCTTTTTGCTCATTTTGGGCCTGAGCCAGGGGACCATCCAGATCCCCTACCTCCTTCACCCTCCCCACCTCGGGATGGTGCACTGACCCCACCTGCTTTCCCCTCTACTTTTGAGCTGGCTTCAGAAAATGGCCCAACCCTGCTGCCTCCTACTTCTCTCCTACCACCTGGGGCCTTGAAGCAGGAAAGCTGCAGCCCCCAATATCCCCAGGACATAACTCAGAAAGGCTTAGGTTCTGACCCTGAGGCTGCAGGTGTACCTGTCAGTGCCTCACCTCCCCAGGTGACTGGGGTGCCCTTCTTCAAGCAGTCTCCAGGACACCAGAGCCCTCCTGCCTCTCCTGAGATGCCCAGCTGTAAATCCCTGAAGGAAGAGGATGACGGGACAGTGGACAAGTCTCCCCCAAGAAGCCCCCAGAGTCCCTCTAGTGGAGCCGAGGCTGCAGACGAGGACAGCAATGACTCTCCTACCTCTTCCAGTTCCTCTAGGCCCCTCAAGGTGCGGATCAAGACCATTAAAACGTCCTGTGGGAATATCACAAGGACTGTAACCCGGGTCCCCTCAGAACCTGATCCCCCTGCCCCCTTGACTGAGGGGAACTTCCTGGCGGAAGCTAGCCTCCTGAAACTTTCCCCTGTAACTACAACCCCTGAGGGCCCAAAGGTGGTGAGTGTCCAGCTGGGTGATGGCACAAGACTGAAGGGTACAGTGTTGCCTGTGGCCACCATCCAGAATGCCAGCACTGCCATGCTAATGGCAGCTAGTGTTGCCCGCAAAGCTGTGGTTCTGCCAGGGGGGAATGCCAGCAGCCCTAAGACCATGGCTAAGAATGTGTTAGGTCTGGTACCTCAAACCCTGCCCAAGGCTGAGGTGCGGACAGGGCTAGGACTAGGGGGGCAGAAAGTAAATGGTGCCTCAGTGGTGATGGTACAGCCTTCTAAACCTGCTCCTGGGCCAGGCACAGTGGGTGGCTCGGTGATCTCACGGACCCAGTCCAGTCTGGTGGAGGCCTTCAACAAAATTCTCAACAGCAAGAATCTGCTTCCTGCTTATAGACCGAACCTGAGTCCACCAGTTGAGTCTGGGCTGGCCCTCCCTCCAACAGGCTACCGCTGCCTTGAGTGTGGGGATGCCTTCTCACTGGAGAAGAGCCTGGCACGGCACTATGATCGCAGGAGCATGCGCATAGAGGTTACCTGCAATCACTGTGCCCGTCGCCTGGTCTTCTTCAACAAGTGTAGCCTACTCCTGCATGCCCGTGAGCACAAGGACAAGGGGCTCGTCATGCAGTGCTCACATTTGGTCATGAGGCCTGTAGCCCTTGACCAGATGGTGGGGCAGCCAGACATCACACCCCTGCTGCCTGTGGCTATTCCACCTGTTCCTGGACCTCTGGCCTTGCCTGCATTGGGCAAAGGGGAGGGGCCTGTCACTTCCACCATTACTACAGTCGCCGCTGAGGCCCCTGTGCTGCCACTCCCAACAGAACCACCTGTTCCCCCTACCACCTCTGTTTACACGTGCTTTCGCTGCCTGGAGTGCAAGGAACAGTGCCGGGACAAGGCTGGCATGGCAGCCCACTTCCAGCAGCTGGGTCCCCCTGCGCTTGGGTCTTCCAGCAATGTGAGTTGCCTTTCATAGCTCTTTTCTGGGGAGGGGGCAGTCAGATACTGTGGAGATAGGATCTAGGAAAGTACTGGATGCTTGGTTTAGGTAAAGCAATGGAGTACAAGGCACACCTCATCAACTTACCTTGTTTAACCCCTTGACAGGTGTGTCCATCCTGCCCCATGATGCTCCCCAATCGGTGCAGCTTCAGTGCCCACCAGCGCACGCATAAGAACCGACCCCCCCACGTCTGTCCTGAGTGTGGGGGAAACTTCTTGCAAGCCAATTTTCAGACCCATCTGCGAGAGGCCTGTCTGCATTTCTCTCGCCGTGTAGGATACAGGTGCCTCATACCCCTTTGCTGTAAAACTTTAGTCTTTCAACAAAAACCTTTTAGATACCATGTCAAGGAGAGCCCCCATCTCTCCTGTCTTCCTCAGCCATATTGTATTGGCATATTCAGCCCTGAGATGTCAAGCCCTATCATCCAGCCATGCCCCATGAGAGTAGTGAAGAACAAGGCCCCTGCTGGAGCTCCAGCTCTGTCACCTCATAACCTCTCTTGAGGATTGGGCCTCTGCAGCTCCTTCCTTTCTCCACTTTGTTCCTCTGTGCTGGTTTGCGTTTTGAAGTCCAGCCAGTTCTTGAGAATAAGTGTGGGGTGATGAGAATAAGTGTGGGGTGATGGGGTTTCACTGCAATGCCTCCCACTTCCTCCACAAGGTGCCCCAGCTGTGCCGTGGTGTTTGGAGGTGTGAACTCCATCAAGTCCCACATACAGGCATCACACTGCGAAGTTTTCCACAAGTGCCCCATCTGCCCCATGGCCTTCAAGTCTGCACCCAGCGCCCATGCCCACCTCTACTCCCAGCATCCCAGCTTCCTCACACAGCAAGCCAAGTGAGACCTGGGGAGGGAGCATGAGGAAGAGGTGGTGGGCTGGAGGGGGCTTCGGGTTAGGGTTGTACTATCTTGTCCTGATGTTTGCATTGACCCTTCTGCTTCCACAGGCTAATCTACAAGTGTGCCATGTGTGACACAGTCTTCACTCATAAACCCCTCCTCTCCTCACACTTTGACCAACACTTGTTGCCCCAGCGTGTCAGTGTCTTTAAGTGCCCATCTTGTCCTCTGCTCTTTGCCCAAAAAAGGACCATGCTGGAACATCTCAAGGTATAGGAGGAACTAAGGGCCTGGGAATGGGTGCTTAGCTGGATTTGACCTGAGCCGGGGTCACATTACCCTCAGGCAGTGGGAAGCAAGGGAGAAGGGAGGACTTTGGCAAAGCCAGCCTCCCCCAACAGCTACCCCCCCCCTTTACAGAATACTCATCAGTCTGGCCGCTTGGGGGAAGAGACTGCTGGGAAAGGGGCTGGAGGTGCCCTTCTGACCCCTAAGACTGAGCCTGAGGAGCTGGCTGTATCTCGGGCAGAGGCAGCCCCTGCTACTGAGGAATCCTCTTCATCTTCTGAAGAGGAGCTGCCTAGTTCCCCTGAGCCCCCTCGTCCAACCAAACGGCCTCGACGGGAACTGGGGAGCAAAGGAGTCAAAGGTGGGGGTGGGGGGCCTGGGGGCTGGACCTGTGGCCTTTGTCACTCCTGGTTTCCTGAGCGTGATGAATATGTGGCTCACATGAAGAAGGAACATGGCAAGGTGGGCTGGGCCTCCTGATTGGGGAAGGGTAGGTTGGAAGGCAGTCTTGGGACTGATCTATGACAGTGGGATGGTGTCCTGGAGCCTGGCTTTGAAATTTCCCACTCCTTGCTCTCCTAGTCAGTGAAAAAGTTCCCCTGTCGCCTGTGTGAGCGCTCCTTCTGCTCTGCCCCCAGCCTGAGGCGCCATGTCAGGGTCAATCACGAGGGGATCAAGCGAGTCTACCCATGCAGGTAACCCTTCCCTCCATTCTCTTTCCATCTGGTGAATGACTCTCACTCCCAGGATACTTTACCATCTGCCTCTTGCTTGAGGGATCTGAGGATGGAGGCCTCCCTCTGCTCTTACAGCCTTCCTTCCAAGCTGTGGGCTTTGACCTTCCCTGGTGCTATCCTGCCTACTCTCTTGCTGCTGCTAGGTATTGCACAGAGGGAAAGCGCACCTTCAGCAGCCGCCTGATCCTGGAGAAGCACGTCCAGGTCCGGCATGGCTTGCCCCTTGGGGCCCAGTCCCCTCCTAGCCGAGGAAGCACCCTGGCTCGAGGCCCTGGTACCAGAGGACAGGTAGGAACAGGTTGTGGGAGTGGGAGACTATAGGGAACAGACCCTGGCCTCAGGAAGCCAGGGTTGTGGGTGCCAGGAGCAGAGGTGAGAAGTGATGCTGAGGCCCAGTTTCTTCTACTTTTTTCCAGGGGCCAGGACGGAAGCGCCGCCAGTCTTCTGACTCATGCAGTGAGGAGCCTGACAGTACAACACCACCAGCAAAGTCCCCAAGGGGTGGCCCTGGGTCAAGAGGCCATGGTCCCCTGCGATATAGGAGCAGTGGCTCAGTGGAACAAAGCCTTGTGGTGGGGTTGAGGGTGGATGGTGGTACTCAGCAGTGTCTCGACTGTGGCTTGTGCTTTGCCTCTCCTGGCTCCCTGAGCCGGCACCGCTTCATTAGCCACAAGAAGAGACGGGGTGGGAGTAAAGCCAGTGCCCTGGGGCTGGGGGATGGGGAAGAAGAGGCTCCTCCATCTCGCTCTGATCCCGAGGGTGGAGATTCACCTCTGCTTGCCTCTGGAGGCCCACTAACTTGTAAGGTTTGTGGCAAGAGCTGTGACAGTCCTCTGAATCTCAAGACCCATTTTCGCACACATGGCATGGCATTCATCAGGGCAAGGCAGGGAGGCAGTGGGGACAACTAGGCTCTTGGCCTGGGGCTAACCAGTCATCTCTGGGAACCCGGGTTTCACTGCTGCTGCTACCTGCTCCTTGGGCTGGAGGTTTGGCATTTATTTTGTTTGATTTTTCTTTCTACCCATGAAGGGAAAGGCTTTTGAGGATTCTGGTGACGTGCATCCCTGTCATTGTTTGGGTTTGGTCCCTAGGCTTTAGTCAAGAGGGCCTGCCATTCTTCCTTTCTGAATCCAACACTAATTATATTCCTGCTGCAGACTCCTGTAACTGGGATGAGAATGGGACCCTGGCAAGCCAGCTAGGCATAGGGAAGGACTGAGGGGTGCATAGGGTCCTAGATCTACCCCCTACAAAGGTTATTTCAGGCACAGACCAGGATTTCTTTTCTGGGTCAGGCCCTGCCCTGATATCCCTTCCCTAACACTCATTGGCACTAACCCCCGCACCCTCATCCCTGCAGTGCCTTCCATTTGTCCTTTTCCCCCCAGAAATCCAGGGGTGGGGGGGTTGGTGGGGATGAGTCCTGTCAAGTGGAGTCCAGGGAGAGGAGAGGACAGGTTCTCAGGAATCCTTTATTCTTGTAGTAATAACAGTGGGAAAAACAAGAGGGAGAAAAAACAGACCATTAAAATTTGCTTGTGGTTTAATCCCCATTCAGGCTTTTTTTTTTTTTTGACAATGTGTATTAACTGGGTGAGTCAGAACTGGGAAAGCCCTTCTCAGGAAAGAGGTGGCAATGACCAAGACAGATGGAAAAAGCAGTCTCCCTACATCTCTTGTGTGTGGTACTTTTTGTATGTTGGATTCAGCTCCTATCCCGCCCTCCTGTCCCCCAGCAACTCAGATAAGACACAAATGGCTAACTAAGGACTCTTTTAAACAAAAGTTAAAAAATTGAGAGCTATTTCTCTGGGTGTGAGGAAGGGATCAGGATAAGGAATTTCCCATGGTTAGGCCAATACCCTCAAAACACTGGAGGGATTGTAATTTCTTTCCTTGTTCCTGTGATGGGGAACCTCAGCAAGTATAGGACCCTATGGCAGAGCCCACCTGTCAGGGAAGGTGGGCTAGGGGTCAGTTCCTGGGAGGGAATAGTTGGGCAGCAGCAGGGCCAAGGGCCAAACATAGGCTCAAATCCTAAGTACCAAGAACCCACTCTTCCCCACTTTTGCTGGGACCCAAAGATAAAGGATGGTCTGTGGAAAGAACCTCTCAGACCCCAGTGTGGGGAAGAAGCCCTCGTGCTCCTCACATTCATCACCTCTGATCTCTGGAGGGCAGTGAGTCCTGGAGTCTGTCAGGTAATATTGACACAGCAGGAGGTGGGGAAGCCCCAGCAAGCCTGGACCCCATGGCTGGCTCTCCTACCCTCTGGCAAGCGCTCATGGTTACCACATGATCCTTTGTATTTCTTGCCTTCCATTTCCCTTGGGTAGATGGTTAGGTAGGCAGGGGTTTGTGGTTTGTGGTTTCTTAGGCAAGGGTCCTCCCAGGGAGAGTGCCCTCAATCCCACCACTCCTAAGTCTGAGAAGGGTGTCACATGATGCCATTGGTGAGGTACTGGAAGCCATCGTAGAGTTTAGTGGTGATGGACCGCATGCTGCCGTCCACCATCTGCTCCACCAGCAGCTGCAGCTGCTCCTCAGTCATGCTCATGTGGAACCTCTCTTTGAGGTTTCGAATGGTGCTGGAGCCATGGAAGCAAGGAAGCTGAGAACCTGGGGGGAAGCAGTGGTGATTGAGGGTCATGGACTATTTGAAGGAAGACATGGACTAGAGCTGGAGGTATCTACAGTACTCCCCCACCTCCATCCACCTCAGGGAACCCTGATGGTGGTACAATTCTGCTTGTACAGAGAGAAGCAAGTGGTGGGAGGCCTTGTCTAGAGTTCATCCTTATCCCATACTCAGCCCCTCTGTTGGTGAATGTGTGCAGAAGAGGGCAATCCCACACTATCTCCCCAAGTTAGCAATGGGGAACAGAGTAGGGCCCAGAGAGAAGGCTGGGAAGAGGCTCTGGGAATGGGCCCTCCACTTATCTGGTTGTAGGCCTGTGCCTATGCTAGGTCTGACACTCACAGATGACCTGGGCCACCGTCACCACGGGGCCAGAGAGAGATGCTCCTGGGCAACGGCAGCAACCTGTGGGGTAGGGGCAAGGACGGGAGAAGGAGACTGGCAGCTTGGCTAGGGTAAACACTTGAAGCCTGGGGAGGGAGGGTGAAAAGGGCCTAGAGGAACTGGGAGGGAGGGAATCCTGGGCAAAAGACCGAGGGAATAAGAAAGCAGCTTAGTGGGAGAAGTCGGGTCAGCAGTACAGGTGAGTAGTGGGAAAGGAAGGTGCAGACATGGGGTGCCTGCAACCAGGGTGATCAGAGGTCAAGTGGAATGGGAGAAGAGTGAAAGCACCTGAATTACAGAAGCTAGATGGAGGAAGGCTACTGAAAGTTCAGAGTTGAATGAGAGGAAGATTAGAAAGTCCAGGAGGTTGTAAATGTGTGTTTTCCCCAGGGCACCTAAGCACTTTCTGCTGCTCCCTTCTTGCCACTGGCCCCTTGTCGTCTGCACCCCCATCTCCTCTAGCTCTGCCAGGGTGAAGGAAGAATATCCTGAAGGATAAAAAAAACTGAATCAGAGCTAAAAAGCTCCAGGACTGCCTCCACCCAAGTCTTGAGGCGAGATCAAGCTCCTAAATGTCCTTTAAGTTCCAGACAACCCAACCAGAGGCATCCCAGGCCCTGGGTTCTCCCCAGTCACACCTTGCTGCATGATCTCCACAATCTGCACCACTTTATCCATGTGTTTCCGAGCAGCAATCAGCCCTTGCAGCATCAGCATCTTGTAGTAGTTGAACATGTCACCGTTCAGGCCACCCATTACCTGGGAAGTGAGGAGAGGTGTGTGCACAAGATGAATTTGGGGGGGGGTCCTTCTCCCGTGGGTCCTCCAGAATTCTCTTAAGGCAACCATATTAAACTACATAAGAAGGAAGCTCCCAAGAAATTGTGCCTCACCCTGACTTACTGCCGTTTCTCTTCGTTCCTTCTTAATTTGGGGGAGCCCATCAGCTCTCCCTTTTAGAGGAAGGACACAGTAACCCTAGACACACCTCTCTTTTCTGACTCACATCCACAAACTCTGTGGTCAGCTTAAAGGCTGAGGTCTCGAAGCCTAGGTTTCGGGGTGAGCTGGACAGAATGAAGCCAAAGTCAATGTGGATGATGTGACCGTCTGCGTCCAGAAGGATGTTTCCGTTGTGCCTGAGGAAAGGAAGGAGGAAGACACAATAAGTTTGGTTTAGGCCGGAATCTCAAGCTGCAGTGCTGACCACAGGACATGGGACAGGAGAGGCCCCAGCTGTTTCCCGTTGCCTGTAAGTCTGGGTTTAATTTTCCAGGACCTAAAACTAGCAGTGAAATGAAGTCAGAAAAGAAAACTACCAAGAAAAGTTGTGGGATATGAAATTGCAATTATATCAGCTCAATAAAAATAAGATTATCATAGGGACTAGGGATGTAGCTTGGCTGGTGAGTGCTTTCCTATCAGTGCAGGAAGCCCCGCGTCGGATCCATATAAACTAGGTATGATGGTGCATGCCTGTAATACCATCACTTGGGAGGTAGAGGCAGGAGGATCATATGTTCATGGTCATGGCTGGAGAGATGGTTCAGCAGTTAAGAGCACTGGCTGTTCTTGCAGAGGACCTGGGTTCAATTTCCAGTACCCATGTCGTGGCTGACAATCATCTGTAACTCCAATTCCAGGGGATCTGATGCCCTCTTCTGACCTCCAAGAGCACTGCATGACACAGGTGCACGTACGCGCATGTAGTCCATACACTCATGCACATTAAAAAAAGTTTGGGCTGGAGAGATGGCTCAGCGGTCAAGAACACTGAGTGTTCTTGCAGAAGACCCGGGTTCGAGTCCCAGCACCCACATGGCAGCTCACAACTGTCTGTAACTCTGGTTCCAGGGGATCCGACAGCCTTTTCTGACCTCTGAGGGCATTACACGACAAGGGTGCACTTACCTACATGCAGGCAATACACGCATACACATAAAATTAAAAAAAAAAAATTAAAAAAGTTTCCTGCCGGGCGTAGTGGCAAACACCTTTAATCCCAGCATTTGGGAGGCAGAGGCAGGTGGATCTCTGTGAGTTCAAGGCCAGCCTGGTCTACATAGTGAGTTCTAGGACAGCTGGGGCTACAGGGAGACCCTGTCTCAAAAAAGACCAAAAAAAAAAAAAAAAAGTTTCTTAGAAATTTTAATTCAAGCACCCAAACTGAGCCTGATTTAATAGTGAACACAGATGGCTGGGCGTGGTGGTGCATGCCTTTAATCCTGGCACTCAGGAGGCAGAGACAGGTGGAATATTTTTTTGGGGGGGGGGGGATACAGGATCTCATTATATAGTCTTAGTAAGCCTGGAACTCAATATGTAGAACAAGCAAGCTGGCCACAAACTCACAGAGATTTGCCTGTTTCTGCCTCCTAAATGGTGGGATTAATTATAATTAAAAAATTTTTTGATTTCTTTTTCTTTTAAAAAAAAATTTTTTTTTTGTTTTGGTCTTTTTGAGATAGGGTCTCCCAGTAGCCCCAGCTGGCCTGGAATTCACTATGTAGACCAGGCTGGCCTACTCAGATCTGCCTGCCCCTGCCTCTGGAGAACTGGGATTAAAGGTGGTGGCCACCATGCCCAGCTTTGATTTATTTTTCTTTTATGTGTATGAGTGTTTTGTCTGTATGTAAATGTACCATTGTATGCAATGCCTGTGGAGGCCAAAAGAGGGCATCTGATCCCCTGGAACAGAGTTACAGTTAGCTGCCATGTGGGTACTACCAGGCTAGCCTTGAACTCACTGGGATACACCAACAAAAATTATTTTTTTATTCATATGTATGTGTGTGTGCCTGCAAGAGTTTATGTGCAGCACAGCACATACACTCAGGTTCCCTAAAGAGGACGGAAGATGGCATTAGATCCTCTGGAACTGGGGTTACAGGCGGTTGTGAGCCACCTAATGTAGGTGCTTGGTCCTCTCCAAGAGCAGTAAGTGCTTTTAACTGCTGAGTCATCTCTACCCACCCACTTTGAGGCATGGTTTTATACTGTAGTCCAGGCTGGCCTGGAATTATGTGGCCTAAATTAGCCTCAAACTCATGGCAATCCTCTTGCCTCAGCCTCCTAAGTGCTAAAATGGCAAACATGAGGCTAAGTATAAAACAGTGTACAGGCAACTTTCTTAAAAATGTCAGGAACTGGGTACTACAGGCCTGCTGTAGGTGAAGAAGAGTTAAAGGGAGATAATCCCAGGGTTTTGTGATTCCCACATGAATGGCCAGTAGGAAGAGCAATTAACATGCTAATAAGTATGTGAGACCTAGCCTATTCAGCATAACCAGCCTTTTGACTGTCAGTAGAGGCTTTGTTAGGCCAAGAGCTCACGTCCCTTAAGACAGAGGGCTGCCTTTTCTGAATTGGTCAGACTGGCTGAAAGAGGAGGGGTGGAGACAGAGGAAGACCCACCGAAGTGATCACAGCTCTGGAAAAGCATCAACAATTTGGCAGTACCCACACAATCTAGACAAAGAGCCAGAAAGAGCCTATGAGATGTCTGGTCCCTGAGAGAACAAGTAGCTTTTTGACCCAAGGTCCCAAGGCTAGCGAGGGCAGTTTCTCTTAGACTACCTACCTGGAAAACTGCCTGGGACTCCTTTTGAGGTTTTTTTGTTTTTAAATAGTTTTCTGATTAATTACTGTCTCAAGACAGTACCTTTTTAAAAAAAAAAAAAATTTATTATTTTTATGTGTATGAGTGTATTGCCTGCATGCATGTGAGTGCACCTGTGTCTTGCAATGCCACGGAGGTCAGAAGAGGGCTTCGGACTCCCCTGGAACTGGAGTTAAGGACGGTTTGTAGCCGCCATGTGGGTGCTGGGACTTGAACCGCGGTCCTCTGCAAGAGTAGTCAGTGCTCTTAACCACTGAGCCATCTCTCCAGCCCCAAGACAGTACCTTTTTAAAATAAAAATTATTCATATTTCACCTTTTAACCCAGAACATAACAAATTTCACTTTCTGGAAACTCATCTTATTAGAAATACCTGATACACGCTTAATAAAAGGAGGTAAGTTTCTTGGTTGTGCCAGTGAGATAGACACGCTCTTCCTAGTTCCCTTAGGTGAAGGTTTTGTGAAATTTCTAAGATGATCTCAATTTGGGGATATCAGAGATTTTTTTTCCAGAAATTAGAATGAAGAAGTAGACCTTAACATTTTGATCCTTCCAAGTAAAAACATGGCAGAAAGAATTATTTTGCTCAAATTGGCCCCCATTTTTGGTGAGCTATTCTTCCCTGATAGGCAGAGAGAAACCCACGTTGGCCGGCCAAAAGCTGGCCTTTTAAAGCCTCAGCTGTGGACCAGACAAACTTTCCATATTCAAATTAGATATATGACATAATGAGTGAATCCACATGCCTTTGTTCAGAAAGACTCTCATATAACCTAGGCTGGTTTGTAACTCATTATGTAGGTAATGATGACTTTGAATTTCTGATCCTCCTGCCTCTATCTTACAAGTGCTGGTACTACAAGCACATGCCACTATCCCTGGTTTTTTTTTTGGGGGGAGGGGAGGGTATTCATTTGGAGACAGGGTCTTCTTGTAGCCCCAGCTGGCCTGGTGCTCACTATGTAGACCAGGCTTGCCTTGAATTCACAGAGATCCTCCTGCCTCTGCCTCCTGAATGCTGGGAATAAAGGTATGGGTCACCTTGCCCAGCCTATACCTGTTTTTATGTGATGCTGGAGATTGAACCCAGAGCTTCATGCATGCTAGGCAAGCACTCTACCAACTGAGCTACACATCCCCAAGTCCACCATTTCATTTTTTCTTTAGTGAAAAACAAAAAATAAGCTATGACAAGTTCTATTATAGAAAAATTTTGCATAGTTTACTTTTCACCAGTCTGTTCTGTTCTGGTATGCTTGTATTGATGTCAGACTCACCCAGATCAATGAAAGCCAATGTGCATACTCTGTAGTATTTTCTGCATACTATGTTCAATTTGATATTGCTACTGTAAGTGGTGGGCATCAGTTTTGGCCACGATGGCACAGTACTCTATTTTAGATTTACTCAAAACTGGTTAGTTGTTGGTGAGAATGACCAGTTTTGCTTTGCTCTGCATGATCATGTTGAGTGTCCCTGTATTCCAGCACAAGCTTTGGAGTTGGAGCCTAGATACAGATTTGATCAATACCAACTTTTTCCTCTTCTTTGTGGCTACCACCTTCCCACTATAGGTATGAGCTGGCCTCCTAAATCTTACATGAATTGTTTTCTGCTTTTTTTTTCTTTTTGGGAGATGGGGTCTCAATATAGTCCAGGCTGGCCTCAAAGTCTCTATGTAGCCCAGGATGAGCATGAACTTCCTGATCCTCCTGCCTCTATCTCTTGAGTGCCAGGATTACAGGTGTTCCACCATGCTTGGTTTATATGGTAATGGGGATCAAACCCAGAGCTTTGTACATGCTAGGCTGTACAAACTATCATCAGCCCACATCTATTCTTTTTTAAAGTTATTAAAATAGTTTATCAGCTCCTTGTACCTCTACCCCACCCCTTTATTTTCCAAACAGTTTTTTTTTTTTCCCTGTTGGTGGTTTATATTTTTATTTTTTGGTCTTTTTGAGACAGAGTCTCTCTGTAGCCCCAGCTGTCCTGGAACTCACTATGTAGACCAGTCTGGCCTTGAACTCACAGAGATCCACCTGCCTCTGCCTCCCAAGTGCTGTGATTAAAGGCGTGTGACACCACACCCCGTCTGGTGGTTTATTTTTATCTATTTTATTTTGTTATTTTTATATATCAACTTCTAAGACAAAAGCTCTGAGGCCTAACTATTGCCAGCTTCCTTGCTACCACTTAATACTAGAGCTGAGCCCAGGCTCTCTGGGCCCTGAGTTCAAATTCTGATGCTGCAGGGACAGTCTAAAGCTTGTGCAATTAAAATCCTTACAATTCTATTCCTCTATAGCTCTCATATATAGAGCCTATACTGGTTTATTTGTAGGGCTGGCAGGGTGGAATGACTACAGGCTCTCAAAGCTATGACCCTTATTTCCCTCATTAGAGAACACTTGTCCGACAGGGTGTTTCATCTGGTTTAACTATGACATGGTAGTCATTTAATTGATGCTAGATTTCTGATAAGCTGCTCTGCTTCCATGCCATTGGGAGCCCTGAAAGCATAGGCCAATACATTTCTTTAAAAAATTCATTTATTTAAGCTGGGTGTGGTGGTGCATGCCTGTAGTCCCAGAGTCAGGCAGATCTCTGAGTTCAATACCAGCCTGGTCTACATAGTGAGTTCTGGGCCAGCTCCGGCTACAGGGAGACCCTGTCTCAAAAAGAGGAAAAAAAAATTATTATTATTATGGGGTGTGTGCATGAAGTGGTGGTAGCGGGTGCACATGCCATTGTGTGCATGTGGATGCCAGAAGACAATTCTGTGGAGTTGGTTCTCCTCTTCTACCTTTACATGGGTTCTGTGGATCAAGCTCTGATCAGGCATACATGGCAGGCACTTTTACCCACTGAGCCATCTCTCTCTAGCCTCTAGGCCACTGCATTTCTACCTGTATGTCCAGAGAGAGGTATAACTCACAGGAGCATTCAGGTCACAGACTCCAAGTCACTGTCTAGAGATAGTCTTAGAAGGTAGGGAGCAGGTGGTGTGATTATACATATGCAATATATGCTTCACCTGTGAGGGCATGGTGGTACATGCCTTTAATCCCAGCACTCACTCAGGAGACAGAGGCAGGTGGCTCTTTGTGAGTTCAAGGCCAGCCTGGTCTACATAGTGAATTCTATGCTAGCTGGGGCTACAGGGAGACCCTCTCTCAAGAAGACCAAAAAAACAAAAAGTGCTTCACCTATGTGAAGTTAGGCTCCATAAACATCATGTGATATTGAAAGAAATGGCAGTCTAGCCAGGTATGGTGGTATATGCTTTTTTTAGTCCTAGCACTAAGAAGGCAGAGGCAGGCAGATCTTTGTAAGTTCAAGACCAGTAGCCAGTCTTGTCTACATTCTATGTCAGCTAGGGCTATATAGTGAGACCCTGTCTCAGAAAAAAGAAGAAGAAAAAAAAGACAAGTCTAAGGAAAACAAAAGATGTTTAAAAGTTATGGAAATCATGGTAGAATAAGAAAAGGAAAGTGCCGGGCATGGTGGTGCACGCCTTTAATCCCAGCACTTGGGAGGATCTCTGTGAGTTCGAGGCCAGCCTGGTCCACATAGTTCCAGGACAGCTGAGGCTACAGGGAGATCCTGCTCAAAAAGACCAAAAAATAAATAAATAAATAAAAGAAAGAAAGAAAGAAAAGGAAAGCTTATGACTGGGAGGACTGGGAGTTTCAACTTTACATCTGTCTTGTCCCTCATCTGCTTTTAGCCACTGACATTAGTCTTGTGCCAGACTCCATTACTTCTTGCTTTGTTGCTGAAGACCCAGTTCTATCAACCCTCACCCACAGCACCACAGGACATTTACATAGGCTAAATCATGTCATTCTGCCGACAAAATAAAATTCTCACGATGAAGACTCTAATTTAGACTTAACTGACCTCTCCGAAGCCACTGCCTGCTAACACCCCTGTCATACACTGGAATTTTCCTCACCTGGAACATCTCACAGCTTTATCTGCTCTCATTTTCCGTTACTCTTTCAGCCCCTATTCACTCAAACTGACTCCTATAAATCCTTTGTTTTTTTTTACTTATTTCCTCTAGCATTTGTCAGTCTGCCTTCTTGGCTTAATGTCAGATAAACATATCTCTCCTAAAAATATGTTGTTTCACCAACTGAGCACTATATGCAAAGGGGCAGAGGAGATCCTGGTGAAAGACCAGGATGAAGGGTAGAAACCACTTACCTGTCCTTGACTTGCAACAGGTAGCAGACCAAGCAGTAGCCAGCACAACTTTGCACAAAATTGCGCTGGGCACTAAGGAATGCCTCGGTGGTATAACTGCCATGTTCCTGCAGGAAGTAATCGAGCAAGGACAGCTGTGACTGTTTCTTCACCTGGTGGATGGACACAGCATTGACTACTGGTTCAATCATGCCACTGTCAGCTGAAATCACAAGAATCTTGTATGGCTTGATCCAAAGAGGTACTCGCTCCTGCTCCCAAATGGACTATAAAGAGAAACAAAGGTATTGACAGTGACTTTCATCTTTCTCCAAACTAGAGAAGACTCAAATTCTCTTCTCCCCAACCTCTCTTCCTTGTGGTCTTGGTTACTGAAGGCCATTAAATACTTAAGACTCACTGACCTACTGAGAACCAAAAAGATTTTTTTTGTTGTTTGAGACAAGGCCTCGTGCATGCAGACCAGGCTAGCCTTGAACTCCTGATTCTTCTACATCTACTTCTCAATTTCTAGGACTACACAGGTATATACCACAACTAGCAAAACCAGAAAAATTTAAAAGAAGTCCAGAGCTTGGCAAAAGCAGGAAATTACACCTAGAATTATGTGGGAAAATAACATATAGAGGTAGGAAGTCCAAGAAAGGCAGAAAGGACAGGAAACCTCACTACCACCTCACGAGTAGGGAGAGTAGGTGCTATTAATATAAACTGAGTAATAGAAAGATGGGGATTTAGGGCCAGAAAAAGCTTTTCTAGAAAGTAAAACTACTAGGGCATGGTAGAGTACTTGGGAGGCAGAGGCAAGAGGATAAGGAGTTTGAGGCCAGCCTTTTTTACAACAGAGAGTTAGAGATATGCCTGAACTACATGAGACCCTGTCTTAAAAACAAACAACCCCCAAAAATGAAAAAGTGCTTAAGCCACGTGAGTTGTACCTGCCTATAATCCCCAAACTTGGGAAGCTGAGTAGGAGGTAATGGGCTCTGGCAAAGGGTAGTGGCTAGAGAAGAAAGGATACTATCGAGTTTCATTTGGCCTAGGCTGCAAGTGAGACCCTTTCTTCAAAATAAAACAGGAGAATGTTAGTTCAATCCAATTTCCCAGACCTCCCCCCTCCCCAATATGTATTATAAAGAACTGTACTAAATGGTAAAGCTTCTTGCAGATTACCAACTCTGGGGGACCAGGTGATCAATATCTCAGCACAGTGCAGCCAGGCATAGTAGTGCACACCTGTAATTCCCAATACTCAAGAAGCTGAGGTATGAGGTATGCTGTGAATTCAAGGCCAGCCTGAGCCACAGAGTGAGACCCTGTCTCAAAACAACAACAACAAAAAAACCCCTCAAAATAAAACCCAAATATTTCAGTACAGTGTAAATCCATCCACCCCAGATCATTTGGGGAATTCTTATTTAAAGGACAAATAAACCCAAGCTGGTAATGGTGAGGAGGCAAAGATAGATATGTCTCTGTGAGTTCAAGGCACCCACCCTGGCTTATATAATGAGTTCCAGGCCAACCAGTGCTACATACACAGTGAGATCCTGTATCTAACAAACAAACAAACAAACAAACAAACAAGGTCATGGGGAGACTTGGAGAGATGGCGCAGAAGGTAAGAGCCCTGACTATTCTTGCAGAGGACTCAGGTTCAATTCCCAGCACCCACATGGCGGCTAACAACTGTTCATAACTCTAGTTCAAGGGGATCCAATGCCCTTTTCTGACCTCCATGGGCACTGCACCACCAAGTGTACTTACACACACACAGGCAATATACTCATACACATAAAAATAATAAAGTATTTAAAAAAAAATCCTAGCACTTGGGAAGGGAGGCAGGAGGATCAGGAGTGCAAGACCATCCTCAGCAACAACTGAGTTTGAGGCCAGCTTGAGCTATATGAGTCAAAAAAAGATAATCGCTGGGTGTGGTGGTGCACACTTTCAATCCCAGCACTAGGGAGGCAGAAGCCAGCCTGGTCTACATAGCGAGTTCCAGGACAGCTGGGGCTACAGGGAGACCCTGTCTCAAAAAAGACAAAAAAAAAAAAAGATAATCCCAGGACTCTGGAATTCAATAGTCAGAACAGGGTGGATGCAGTTCAAAAAAAAGGGCCAACAGAGGGCGCCATGAAGCTGTTCATGCTGCATGCTCTCACAGAAGTCAAATTAGTTCTAGTTTAGCCCCCCTCCTATTAAGACCTGGGTAGGCAGCTGGTCCTCAGCAGAGCTCCCAGAAAAATCTGTGTGGGCATCAGGTGGGCTGGAGGTGGTCAGGGTACCCTTTCTCTCATTTGGTTTCTTTGTGGTGGTGGGGATTACCATCTTCCCTTTCCTTACCTGTAGTTGCTTTAACACCTGGAAAGCCAGCAGTTCCTGACGAAGGTCATCTCCACACTTGACGATGACTGACAGGAGCCGCCAATTGGGGAGATGGCCATAGGGGGAGCCTTCTCTGATCCTCCTATGAAGAAAGAGAAAAATGTGTCACAGGGTGATGCCAGGGTGAGGACTTGGACTTCAGTGGATGTCCGATAAGAGTTTTTAGAGGCTGAAAGACAATAAAAATAGAGCAGTAGCACCTGAAAATGCCTTGGAATTATGAGAGGAGCAGAGACTCCCTACCCAACTCACCGCACTTTCTCCTGCCAGGGCTCTTTGAGGGCAACTGCAGAAGGGTCTTCAGGGTCTCGTTTGAAGGCTGTGGGGGTGTGAGCCAGCTGTTCTGAAAGGCGCCGTCTAGTAAGGAGAAAATACATATTTTGTTTGGAGAAGTTATTCCAGAGCCTCGTGCCCTGCCTGTGCTGCTTTCCTTACCACTGTTCCTGGATTCTGAGCACACAGGGATGGAAACCTGGATGAAAAAGTGCCAGGGAAGGAAGTATAATCAGTGGCACTATTTTGCTAACTTGATAGTTTGTGATCATATTAAAATGCAGAGAACATGGCTTTCCCCATTCCTCTGTCCTGAGATTGATTCAGAATGGGTTCAACTCCAGAATCTGCATGTCCACAAGGTCTCGTCTTACATCTCAAAGTGAAGCACATCACTTTGAGACCTCACTTTGATTCTTGGTTTTGGTTTATCTTTTGTGGTGCTGGGAAATGAACCCAGGGCTCTGTTGTTGCTTGTCAAGTGTTCTACTGCTTGGCCAAATCCCCAGCCCCCAACTTTGAGAAACACTGATAAACTCCTCCTTCCTTGGGTGCTTTTGTCTTTTTGGTACCCTCTTAAAATTTAATTTCTTTCTGCAGTAGTCCAAGCAATGTCAGCAAAGGGATGGAAATGTGGGGCAGTGTGATGTGGCCATACCGGATGTCCCCTGCTGCAATGAACACAGGCTCCTTGCTCTCCTGGCTGGTGATGCTGTCCACGGAGAACTGAGAGATGTTGTCACAGCTGTTGGTGTGCACTTCAGGGAGCTGGGGAGAGCAGGGGAGTGCTGGTCAGAGGTGCTAAGCACAGATCTCCCTCTTACCCCCGATCACTTGCCCCCTCCACAGCATGTTTGCTCACCACTCACTTTTAACTACAATTTTTTTTTTTTACATCTAAACCTTATGAAACATCACAATTTTTTTTTTTTTTGTCTTTTTGAGACAGGGTCTCTCTGAAGCCCCAGCTGGCCTGGAACTTACTATGTAGACCAGGCTAGCCTTGAACTCACAGAGATCCACCTGCCTCTGCTGGGACTAAAGGCATCGCCACCACACCTGGCTAAGTACAAAATATTTTACCAGACCCCAAGAAACTCCTTTCTCCTTCCTTTATATCAAAGCACTCTTGTCAGCTCCATTTGTCCTCTAGTGCACAATCACAATGACTTGCACCTTCATTTTTCTTCCTAAGTGTTTATGTCTAATCTTAACTGGACCATAAAAACATACAAAGATCTGTCTTTGTCATGGAATGCCCCTACCTAAAATCCTGCCCTGCCTGGCTTCCTATTAACCCCAGAATAAAGCTTGAGTTTCCTCCCACAGCCGACAGGATCCTTCCTATAACCTGGCCCATGCCCACTTCTCCAGCCTTATTCTTCAGTTTCTCACCACACACCCACATATCCATAGCATACAAATTTCTTTCGGTTCCTACCCTGGACCAAACTCTCTTGTCTCTTCTAGTCCTTGTACACATTCCTCTGCCTGAATACTCTTTGTCCAGCTAATTCCTACCATGCTTCAGGCCTCAAGCCGAGAGAATATTTCCTCCAGGAAATCTTTTCACACTCCTACTCCAAGTTTGGAGTAAGCACTATCTCCACCACTGGGTACTTCCCATAGTGCTCCATCCTTTCCACCACAACCCAGATCATACCTCTGACTACCAGCTTACTGATCTGATTCTCTCTGTTAGGCCATAAATTCTTTGCAGGTATAGTCCAAATCTTGCTCACTAGCATATAGTACTCAGGTGTGGAACATAGAAGACTCTCCATAAGTACTGTTTTCCTTTTTAGGTTTTGGAGATAGGGTCTCATGTAGCACAGATTGGCCTCATTCTCTATGTAGCTGAGGCTGGTCTTGAACCCTTGATCTTCCTGCTTTTGCTTTCACATTTCAAGTGCTCGGATTATAGGAGTGAGCCACTACACCCAGCTATAAATATTTATTGAATGAATGCATGACTTGTCAGTCTCTGGGGTCCTAAATCAACTTTATATAGCAGGTGTTCAATAAATATCTCATTAAAGTTCCCTTATTCCCCTAGGTCTAGATGTGCCTCCTTACATTTAATCTGAATTCCTTCTGCAGAATGAGCTCCACTTAAATCCATTCTGCACCAGCTGCTTTACCCTCTCATACCCCTCACTACCTAACCATTCATCTGGGTACTTGTCTCCCTCTGCTAGGGGGTGTATTGTCTCTAATGTCTCAAAAGCTCCTAGAGAACAAGTGCTGTGCCCCAGCATTACCTCCTTGGAGCTCCCTCACCTCCACCTGCAGCTCGCCTATGTCATCCACCGACCAGGCTTCATCATCATTGTCATAATTGGGTACAGTGCTGAAGCTGCCAGCCCGCTGCTCATGGGTGATACCACATTCAGGCAGGTTCTCTACCGACCGTGTGCTCCGAATTCGGTTCTCAGGAATCCGGGCAGGGACACTAGTAGTGTCGAAGTTTTCACATTCAAGAACTTCCACATAGATCAGGTAGGGAGCCTGGTGGAGAGAGTGAGAATAGTATTTGCCACTTATTCACCCTTCTAGCTCCCAAATCTCAATTCCATAACACAGTTCTTCCTGCTCTAACCCTCATCTGTCATTATTGTTACATATTTTTATTATAGTATTATTATAAACAACATATTTAGGATAGGAACTTATTGTATCACCTATATAAAAAATTTGGATGGCTGGGGGTGGTAGTGCACACTTTAAATTCTAGCACTCAGGAGGCAGAGGGCAGGCATATCTCTGTGAGTTCAAGGCCAGCCTGGTCTACATAGCGAGTTCCAGGCCAGCTAGGGCTACAGGGAGATCCTGTCTCAAAAAGACCAAAAAATAAAATTAAAAAAAAATAAAATAAAAGCTGGGCATGGTGGCGCATGCCTTTAATCCCAGCACTCGGGAGGCAGAGGCAGGCAGATCTCTGTGAGTTCAAGACCAGCCTCGTCTACATAGAGAGTTCCAGGACAGCTGGGGCTACAGGGAGACTCTGTCTCAAAAAGACCAAAATAAATAATAAAATAAAATAAAATAAAATAAAAAATTTGGATGAAAAATGCATAAGTCTTCAAGTATATCAGTGGGGCTTCAAAATGCATAGTGCAGTTGGGCAAAACTCTTCCAACTGTCAATTACAGCTTTAAAGAGAGGTCAAGGAGCCTCTATGGGTTTATTCCTAGATGGGGCCCAGGAAATACTGCGGACAAAAAGACTGGACAAAGCTCATTACTGTCCCAAGGAGAATTCTAATCTTCAATACTTCCTTTGAAAGAAGAATCTGAATCATGAGTAGTCATTCCAGTCAGCAGACAAATGCAGCTAATCCTAGGGAAAAAAAATATCTACCCTTATGGTGGTTGTATGTGGATAGCCTGGGAGTTCCATAAGGGCTGAAAAGCTACCAAAAGGAGTATAAGGAGTGAGTTGAGAGCAGCTCTCTTCAGATCTGGCAAGAGGTTAGCCAAAATGATTAGGCCTCTGTGGTTCAGACAAGCAAAGCCCAAGAAGAGAGGCTGAAGTGTTTTCAATTTTCAACATCATAACAGCGATGAGGTAGTCACAGTTGACACATGCACCATGAACTATGAAGGGTATCTAGCACGTTGGTAGGGGACAGACCCTGGGAAATCATAGGAATGCAGTCAGATCAGGGGCAGCGTTTGGGCCAGAGCCCACCTACCTTGTCCTTGGAATTGAGGACAACAGCCTGTGTGTGGGGCACGCGGACCACATGGTGGTCAAAGCCAGCAGTGGGCAGCCAGACTCGGGCAGGGAGCTTATGGTTGAGCAGGGAGAGCTCTGAGATCAGCCTCTGTGTTTTCTGCTCTTTGGTGGGGAGTGTGGCCAGCCGTTTGCCAATTGCCATCAGGGACTTGATGAATTCTCGCTCAGGGGCCAGTCGGACAGGCTACAGGGGATTGGGATGAAACAAAAGATGGTAAGAAGTCATTGAAAAAAGTGGCCCATCCCCCTCATTTATTTCTGACCAGCTAGACCAAGGCTCCCAGTATCTGAGGAACCCTAGGAAAAGAGCTACCTTTGGCCATGGGAGAAGTTTCCACCCTACTTCTCTCAGCTTGGACTGAGAACTAACATATTCCTTCTCTGCAGGTGATATCTTGGGGATTCAAGATGGCCCTGAGTCCAGATTACTGAACGCTTTTTTCTTGGACTTGAGTTCCTCAAAGACTGTCTTTAGGACAGGCAACTGAATACCTAGAAAGGTCAGTCCGGACCCCAGAGAAAACCCACTTACACCTGAAGTGCTTTACTCCTCTTGTAACTCAGCTATCCCCTTCCCCACCTAGGTCGTTAGGCTGGAGCTCTGCTGACAGGCTCTACCAGGGGCTACAAGGGAGTTCAAATCAGTATTTTCCCTTTCAAAGAAGGAAGATGCTCTTCACCTCAAAACTTCTATTGTTCTTTGTGGTACACACACCCTTCCACCCCATCCACCCCACATTTTCTTACAAGGGATCAATGTACATGCAGGGGATGAGAAGAGGATGAGCAAATTGCATTAATGAGGGCGCAATCCATGGGAAAAGAAAAGGCAGATGGAAGGAGGTATAGGTAGATGGATGGAGAAAGCAATAGCTCCTGTTAGCCTCTGTGGCCCTTTTGAACATCCATCTCTAGCAATTCTTCCTTGGGTCCTCTTCTCCTGCCTCAGAGACTAGGCTCCCCATATCAATTTTCTGTGGTAAGCTTGGTTCCTCATACCAGGTACTTTAGCTATTCCCAGAAAGAGCAAAGACAGTCTGGGAAGTAAGGTAGAGTTGAGGGATAAGATGGGCTCAGCTATCATGAGAAAGGCCTCCACTTTTAGCCTCAATCATACTGTCACAAGGGGCATTAAAACGTTAAAACAAGATTACCATCAAGCTGGATTGGATGATACAAGCCTATAACCCCAGCATCTTGGAGGTTAAAGCAAGAAGATTACATGTTCAAGTTTGAGGCCATCCTGAACTACGCAGTAAGTTCAAGGATAGCCTATGATGTCTAGCAAAGGTCTGACTCAAAAAAACCAAAACAGCCAAGTGTGGTGGTACACATCCTTAATCCCAGCACTCAGGAGGCAGAGGTCGGTGGATCTCTTGAGACTGAGGTCAGTCTGGCTTATACAGTGAGTTCCAGGCCAGCTGGGGCTACAGGGAGACCCTGTCTCAAAATAAAACACACACACCCTACAGAAAACAACAAACCCAAGCAAAACAAATGCTGGGCATGGTGACACACATTCTAGAAGCTGGGAGGCTGTGGCAGGAGGACTGCCACAAATTTGAGGCCAGCCTGGACTACCTGAATACCAGGTCAGCCAGAAATATGTATCAAGATATGGTCTCAAAACAAAAGGGGCTGGAGAGACAGCTCAGCAGTTAAGAGCACTTGCTACTCTGCAGGGGATCGGGGTTGGGTCTCTAGCACCCACATGGGTGGCTCAAAACCAACTGTAACTCCAGAGTGGAGGGGATCAGACACCCTCTCTAACTTCTGTGGGGACCAGCAAACACATTGTGTGTGTGTGTATACACATATACATGCCGACATTCATACACATAAAATATTAAAATCAAAACAAAACAAAAAAAGCAACCACTCAACTCCCTATCCCATCTCTCCTCAGCTATATAGGATATCATTTTCCTTCCTTCTTTCTTTCTTTTGTGACAGGGTCTCACTATGTAGCCCTGGTTGGCCTGGAATTTTCTATATAGACCAGGCTGGTCTTGAACTCACAGAGATTTGCTTGCCTCTACTTCCCAAGTGCTGGGCCCTGGCTTATTTCTACCCTCACTTCCTCATATTGAAAAAAAAAAAGGCTTCATTATTTTTCATTTTTGAGATTTTTAAAAAAACATTTTGTTTATTATTTTTATGTGTATGAGTGTATTGCCTGCATGTATGTGAGTGCACCCATGTCATGCAATGCCGTGGAGGTCAGAAGAGGGCTTCGGATTCCCCTGGAACTGGAGTTAAGGATGGTTCATAGCCGCCATGTGGGTGCTGGGAATTGAACCCAGGTCCTCTGCAAGAGCAGTCAGGACTCTTAGCTGCTGAGCCATCTCTCCAGCTCCCTTTTTTTGAGATTTTTAAAAAAACTTTATTCAAAAGCTGCGTGTGGTGGTGTATGCCTTTAATCCCAGCACTCCAGAGGCAGAGGCAGGTGGATCTCTGTGAGTTCAAGGCCAGCCTGGTCTACACAGTGAGTTCCAGGACAGCTGGGGCTATAGAGAGACCTTGTCTCAAAAAGACCAAAAAAAAAAAAAAAATTCATACGTGAGTATACTCTATTTACATAATTTTCACCCCTCCCTTTTCACCTTCTACCCCTCTTGAATTCATGACCTCTTCTCCTATAATTATTGTTACATATACATACATTTTTCCCACTCACCCACTCACCCACTCATTCATTTATCTAATTAGTGTTGCCCATTATGTACTTGTTTTAGGGCTGATCAGTTAGGATTGGTAAATGTATCAAGGGGCTCTTCCCTGAGAAAAGTGAGTCTTTCTTCCTGAGCAGCCACTACCTGTAGCTCTCCATCTAGGGGTGCGGCTTTTAAAAATTTCCCCCCATCCAGAAGCTTCTTTTGAGAACTGGGCAGAACCATGTCAACTTGTACAAGTGGGACAGAGTCAAGGTGCAAAGGAACCTCTTAGCCGCTACTCCATGATGGGAGGAGGTGGGCTGGCTTAGAGCACCACAAAGTAGTGAAGGTGTTAGAATCAGTCAGGAATGCTTTAGGGATAGGGTTGAAAAGAGTAAAAGAAAACAGAACTGGACTTCTAAGATTCCTGGAAATATCCTGGGGTCCTAAGCATAGCAAGAAAGAATAAAGCCCTGGGCTCTGTTCCTGAGATGGGAGGGAGGGGGAAGAAGGGAGAGAGGAGAAAGAGGGGGAAATAAATTTGAAGACTCATGCCTCCATCTTGATCCCTGAATCCTTTCATTCAGGTGGCAAATGGTTGCCATGCCATGGACCCTCCACTCCAACCAATTTATAGTCATATTTTTTCCATCTTCCATCTTCCAATCAGCATTTCAGTTGTGGACTCCTAAGTAATCTGGACACTAAATATGTGACTCCAGGCCTCCAAAATGAGGCTCTGCCACATGGCGGGGGGAAACAGGAATCATGACTGATTAAAAGGGGATCAGCACAGAAAATAGAAAACAGATTGGGTAAATAAAATTAAAATGTAAAAAAAAAAAATTAATCATCCAATACCAGAGGGTCCAACATTTCCTCTCACGTCTTTGCCCAGGAACAAGGTCCAAGACCCTGTATGACTGGAGGGTCAGGGTTAGTCCAGAGGGAATAAGAAAGGAGAATGGGGATTAAGGGATATTCTGGGCAGTAAACTGGGAAAAGGGAAGAACCCAGACCTGGAAGAAATGAAGTTAAAAAGGAAAACCAGTTGTCGGAAGGTAAAACTATCCCTCAGGCCAAGTCCTCTTTGTTTTTGGAGTTGATTCAGCCAGCACAGGGTCTAAGATTTAGAAGATTGAATAAATATTTGACGGGCTGATGGTAGAAGCCACAGGGAAAGGGTTCTGCGTAGGAGAAATGGGATCCTGGGGGTTTCTGCCAACCAACGTTTGTCTGTAATCCAGGATTAAACTCTACCTCTCTCCCAGCTGTTTGCTCCAGAGACCTAGGAGCTAGGCCTAAGCAGCACAATAATATCCCAGCTGTCTTAGAGAGAAGGATCAACTCAGCTTGTCTGGGCCTGGGCTAAGGGTACTGGTGGCAAAGCTCTGGGGGAATCCTCCAGGTCTGGGAAGCCTAGAAGGGAGATGTTAATCTACCAGGAATTAAAGGGGCCTTTGCTTAATCACGTAAGACATGGGACGGAGAGGAAATGTGGCCATGTGGGGAGCCTGCCACCCAGTCCCAGCCTGGCCCCACTTACGGAAGTGAATGAATTATCAAAACTCTCGGTGCTGGAGGAGAGCTCCTGGGAAAGGGCCAGAGGGCAAGGAGAAGAAGGGGAAAAAGGGGCAGGGAGGGAAGGGAGAAAGACAAAGGCAAAGAATTTAGCTCCAATTTGGATCGTAACTGCTTCTCTTGTGTAGCTCTACTTTCTGCTTTAGTGAGACAGTCAACCCAGAAAAGTCGCCTGCCCAGATTCAAGACATTTGTGGAGTGTTGGAAGGCCAGCTGACCTTGAGGGCAGAAGAGCCAAAAGCCAAGCAGCTTCTGTTTTTCACTTTATCTTTTATTCTTGCCTGAATGAATCTTCCTTTTCGGACAAAATCCTAAAGCTGGGTCTCTAGAACAGTAACTGCCCAGCTTAGCTGTTCTTTCATATCATCTACTCACATGCTTCCAACCAACTCCTTTCTCCATGGGGACAACCACAGAGAGACTGGATTTTTTTTTTTTTTTTCTTTTGGTCCAGCTGTCCTGGAACTTGCTATGCAGATCCGCCTGCCTCTGCCTCCCAAGTGCTGGGATTAAAGGCATGCGCCACCATGCTCGAGACTGGATTTTAACAAACCATATGACTCATATACTAGAATATCTGTGTTCCTCTAGCTTCTTGGAAAGCTCAGCAAGAGCTAATTTCAGTGCCAGGTGTATATACCTCCCCTCTAGTCAGACTTATGATCATCCTGGGAAGCCTAATCCTAACTTCGAAATTGTGTGACAAAGGGCATCCCAGACCCATGTAATCCACTTTCGTGTCTATCAAACCTCTTTGGGCTATCAGCCTATTTTGAATGACACTGAATATATTACAAATTTTTGAATGAAGTTGGGACAGTTAGATCCTAGCTAAATCCATCTGAGAAAATGGATTAGCAGGGTACTAACAGTTCCAGTACCAGCCCAAGAGAATAATCTATGCATCACCCCAGCTGAGCATGGTAGTGTGTGCCTATAATTTCAGTACTTGGGGGGCCAAGGCAGAAGGATCAAGACTGCAAGGCTAGCCTGGGCTACACAGTAAGAGCTTTTTATCAGAAAACAAACAAAAAAATTAAAAAATAAACATTGCCAGGTGCAATGATGCATACTTTTAATCCCAGCACTCTGGGAGGCAGAGGTAGGCGGATTTTTGTGAGTTCAAGGCCAACCTGGTCTACATGGTAAGTTCCAGGCCAGCTGTGGTTACAAGAGACCCTGTTTCAAAACAAAACAAAACAAAACAAAACCCATCATCCTTCTCCTGTGTTTAACCAATATCTGTGAACAAAGCAAGGAACAGCTCATTTTAGTAGCTGTGGAGCAGCAGCACTCATGTATACATGTGGCTGTCCTGGGTTCTGTCCGCTAGTCTACCAGGGCAGGCAGCAGGAACAGATTGTGTGTAAAGGCAGGAGGGGAGGGGGCTGGATTTAGAGGCCCAGTCCTCAGAGCTCTCAGCACCAAGAAGGCAGTGGGCACTGTTCTTCTGCTCTACTACCAGCATTTTAAGCATCGGCCTAATTCAGGTCTACTGTTAAGTTTTGTTCTAGCTGGATATACTACATTTGAGTTATCTTTTAAGAATGTAGGCAGACAGCACTTGGAGGAAGAAGCCACACTTGGAAATGATCCCCTAAGGCCACAACTCTTCTGCTTTGGGTAGAAGTGGGAAGGAAAATTGAGGCAGTGAGGATGACAGAATCTACTATAATCCAGTGGTTCACTTTCTACACTTAAGCTAGTTGGGGACAAATAGCAGGCAGGACATTGGTTCCAGCTAATCCTCTCACAGACAGGTTCAGGTGACTCATTAAGGGCTGTGGCAGGAGGGAGACTGTCATGATCTGCTCCTTTCCTCCTACTCTCTTAAGCCTGAGTCATTTGAACTGAGTCAGCTCCAGAGTAAAACTGAGACTAAGAGCTGACATCACACCCTATCAGGCTGGAAGCCCTACTCGGCTTCCAGTGTGACATGCAGCAGATTTCTCTGTACAAAGGTTGTAGTCCTGGAAAGACAAAGCTGATCTATTTGGAGTGTCATTATGTAGGGCAGTGTGGGTATGGGGGTGGTACCTAAATCACTCCCTAATCCCTGTGCCCACTCTATGCCAAAATATTTATCATTTGGCTACAAATAGGAAGGAAAACTGCCTGAACAGTTCCTGAGGAAGGCTGATCAGAACCACTTTGAAAGGGTGGGTTTGGGGGTGGGGTGACAGGAGTTGGGAGAAATCAATGCTAGAGCCCTCTGTAGGGAGTATAATGGTCTCTCACAGCTTTCTGTGAAAGCTGGCCAGGAGAAAGCTTTGTAGGGAAATTCCAGGCAGAAAGCAGCCTTGGCTCTTCCCTCGGGCCCCACCTCACTCTCTTTGGAGCTCTTCCACTATGGGAAACACATGGGATTTATCAGAACCCAAAAGGAAAACAGAGACTGGGTGTAGAGTGTCAGGGCCCACCTAGAAATCCTCCTTCTCTAGATTATCTTGCTCAGGCTTTAGAAAGCTCTATGGTATGTGTACATTTCCTATTTACAGAAACAACTTTTCACCAAAGTCAAAATTGACCTGTTCTTTAGCTATTGGGACTTTTATATTAAACTTACAAGTTCCTGAACTAAGAACAGCATTTTATCCTCTGTTCTCCATTCTTTGTTGTCTTTGGGACAGAGCTTTGCACACTGTACAAGGCTAGTGACTAGTTTTTTAGTGAATGAATGGTTCATGACAAGGGAAGCAGAATAGAAGGAAAACCAATTCCCTTGGTCCCTCAGGCAAAAACGTTTTGGTAGACGTATCTTCAAAATGCCAAAAGGATTGGCAGACCCCTGTGCTGAAGTCTCTAATGCTTAGAAACCTAGTGATATTTATGTTGATGCTCTATTTCTCTTTTTGCTATCACATTTCCTGAGGAGCCACAGTGGATTCAAGTGTCTCACTTTGCCAGCATCAGATAACCTGGAAGGGCCTGGGCAAGTGTTCTCTTCTTCCTTTCCCAGATCTAGTAACCCAAAATGAGGAGCCAGGCTGGGAAGAATGGCAGCTAGAGAACCCACCCTGCAGATGTAGACACTCAGAATACCTGCCTCTCAGTCATCCATAATCCTGGAGAAGTTAAATGCATAGAACAGGGACCCCAGACCAGCACAGGGTAAGAGAAACCCTAAGGTCTCTGCTTTTCTGGTCCTAAGATGTAGACTTTCCCTGTAGGGAAAAGTCAAGCTAGACAAGAAGCACTGATGAATTCCCTCCCAGCTTGCTCACACTTATTCTAACACAGGTTTATCTTAGATGAGGCACCGCTCAAGCCCTTTATGACCTTAGTTCCATCAGAATCTGAAGGATTCTCGCTCTGCAACAACCTCCCTTCTAAGACTTTGGACACTGCTGCCAAGCTCAAGCAGAAGTAAAAATGGTTCATGCTGGTTCCCAGAATAGTTTGGGCTTTGTGTGTAGATGGAAGTGTAGAGTCCACATCCTTGGGCAATTCTTCTCCAATGGCCTCTGACAGCTGGGATAGGGAGTCGGGGGAAGGAGATAGTGAGGACTACCCGAGGCTGCTCAGATGAATGGCTGTGAACATGAGCTGTCTGAGAGTCACCAGTTTCCTCACAAGTAAAATAAGACCCGCTAGAGGTAGTGTGAGGGTTAAATTTCCAGTATTTAGCATAATGCTCAGCATATGTCATATGTCAATAAAAGTTGACACATTTAACGTTATTATATTAAATTATCATAATAAAATACATTTCCAGGGCCAGGTATAGTGGTGCATGTTTTTGATCCCAGCACTTGGAAGGCAGAGAGGCCAGCTTGGTCTACACAGCAAGAGCCAGACCAGCTGGGGTTACCAGGAGACCCTGCCTCAAAAACTGAAAAACCACTACTACCACAACCACAACCAAAACAAACATTTTTCAGGGAGAGCAGGCTCTGAATTTTCCCTTCCCTCCTGCTTTTCCCTTCCCTAACCACTCTGACTTCCCTTTACTTGAAAGAAACTCCATTGTATCAAAAATGTGAGTGGGTTTATACCCTGCAGAGGCAGATGCCAGGACCATGGCCATATGCATTTTCCAACAGTGCAGATTCTTCGTTTTTTTAATCCCTTTTTTTTCTAGGCTGGGCTGGCAGCCAGGATGGGAGCTTGCCAATGGTGAATCAGAGATGAGGACTGGGACACCACTGTCTGGCTGGGACACTAGGTCACTGAACTTGGTTGTCCATTGGGCAAATTTCCCCACTATCTATCCAGATGTATAGTGGAGAGTGTCTCTAAGCTACTGATATGCTCATTTCCGCCCTGCTCTGTATTGTTCATTGGCTACCCCAGCTGCTGCAGAGGGCCCTTTTCTCAGCTTCAGGACCTTGACTAGACATTAGATTTACTCTGCCAGGATTACCTTTCTTCCCTTTGTGTTTATCTCAAATGAAGGCAGGAAGGCAGAACATTCTGTTGAGGCCTGATTGTTAAGAGAATAAACCTTACCCTATGCTAATGAAAGTAGGACCTTTAGGGGGTGAGGAATTATGAGGAATGGCCAAGAGAATGAAGCAAATATTCCATTTAGCATCCTCTCTTCCCAGCACACAAAAAGATCACAGCTCCCTTTCCCTCCCTATGGTGGCTGCTGCGAGGTTCTCGGATATGCCAGGTCTCAAGCCAGGTGGAATGGGTCTATGTTACAGTTCTTAGTTGAGTGTATAGTTAGTGGAATGACTGTGCAGTTTAGTGAAAGCAACTCTGGACAGAGTCAAGAATATAGCCAAATGACCTGAGGCAAGTCACTTTATCTCCTTAGGTGCCTGGATTTTTCCTCTGTAAAACGAGGCAGTTGGAATACATGAATTCTAAGGTCTTTTTCCATTCTAACATTCCATGCTTTTATCAGGGAAATGAAACAGAGGGAAGGACAGAAAGAACAGAGTAACCCATGTAAGACAGCCTGTCTCCATGCAGCCCTATGACCCCTTGCCTGTCTGACCCTCCCCCCAACTTTACCTCATCCTCATTCTCCACTTTTGGGTTGCTGGCTGTACGTTTCAGGTTGTTGCTGAGACTTATGCTGGCTGTAGCATCTGACTTAGAGCGCTGGTGAGTCCTTTTGGAGGGAGACAGCCCTGTGTCGGGGGCTGGGCTCAAAGATGGCAGTTCCCTCTTTCGGTGAGCTGGCTTTAGCTCATCTGAGAGGATCAGCTTCCGCAACTTGGTCCCTCGAGAGTGTCGTTGGGTGGAAATGTGCATGTCTGAAGAGTAGGCCCCAAGCAACAGGGCACACTGGAGGGAAAAGTTAATGCTCTGGCGGCAACGGTGGACTATGTAGGGTTTAATGGCATCACCCACATCCTCATCCATGTGGATATACATATTAAGCAACTGGGGCAAGTAGAAGTCCACGTCCTCATTGCGAAAGCAGAAGAGCCGGTTGCCAATGTAGGCTTGCACCCCAGGCTCCTTGGAGTTATACAAGTATGAAATGGCCATAGAGATGTCAAATAGTTTTGACTCAAACAGTCTCAGGAGCCAAGACTGTTTGGCTGAGTTGTTCTGTCGTCGCCTTCTTGCTCCTTTGGCTGTGCCTGAGGCCACAGTGGCCTCCACCTCATCTTCTTCCTCCCTGATTTGGGCAGGGGGATCATCTAGGCAACGGATCTCATTGTCCACACCATCCCCATTGACCAATTCCAGCGGGGTGCCTCTGTTAGAGATGGCTACACCTCCATGCAAAAGCTTGACTTTCTCTAGAACCTCCTGGCAGGCCTTCTGGGCTACCTCAGGGTCAATCACTGAGAGTTCCCCAATCCCCTCTGTGATGACACTTAGCAAGGAGCCTCCGTTATTCCCTAGTGGGCTCGGAGTGGGCTCAGAAGTTGGCTTCAGGGTGGCAGGCTCCACTACCATGTCTCCCATGGCTACAGCCAGACTTTGAGCTTCCAAGCTAGACGCAGGGAGGAAAAAAAAACAGAAAGGGAGATATACGCACAGTGGTTAGTCGTGTCATCCTCAGGTCTCCCCTTCACCATGAATCCTGCTTAGGCTCCTCCTCCTCTCTTCCTGTATTCTTTCAAAGTAAGGGAAAAAGTCATGTCCTACCAGGACATTTGCCTTCACTACCTCCACTTCCATCGCTGCATTCCTCTTCGCTCCTGCACTTAGCTACTTAGCTTAACCTTCCTTCAATCTCAGCTTGTATACAGAAAATGCTACTTGACATGTGTTATGTCTTCACAGTCTTAAAAATCTTCAGGCACACTGGGAAGTAGCTCACATCTTACTCTTGTCTTCATCGCTTTAGACACTTGTCTATTCTCTTATTCTTCCTGTGTTTCCCCTCAAATGCCGTCTATAATATTTTTCCTTTTCCTCTTTATATTTCCTCACACACAGGTCTTGTGCATCTCTTTTTATTTAGTATCAAAGTTGTTACTGTTTTTTTTAAACTTTTAAAAAATTTTATTTATTATTTTTATTTTATGTGTATGGTTGTATCGCCTGCATGTAGGTAAGTGCCCGCAGAGGACAGAAGAGGCTGTCGATCCCCTGGGACTGCAGTTACGGACAGTTGTTAGCTGCCATGTGGGTGCTGGGAATTGAAACCGGGTCCTTTGCAAGAGCAGCCAATGCTCTTAACCACTGAGCCATCGCTCCAACCCCTGTTACTGTTTTTTGAGGCAGAGTATTACATTATAGCCTAGGCTGGCCTTAAATTTGTAGTAATCCTTCTTCCTCAGCCTGCCAAGTATTGGGATTACCTCTGTAGGCTTTAGTTACAGATACTTCCTTGCTTTCTCTTCTAGACTCAAAGCTCCTAGGGAATAAGGGCCAACAAAAACCATACAGTTTTCACTGAGGGGAAACCACGCTCAGTCATCAGCAACCCTGCAAAAGCTGTACTACTTTTCTGCTTATCTGGCTCTAGGACATCATACCCTTTCTCCAGTGCTGTGGAGCTCAAGTACAGTGGAAAGAACCCTGATTTGGAGGCAAAAAGGCTGGGGTTCAAAATTCTTGCTCTGCAAGATGCACAAACTTATACAAGCCATGAGTATTCTGTTTCAGTTTCCTTAACTGCAAACTGAAAAAAAAAAAACTTACTTCTCATTGCTGCTGTAGAGAATAAATTCATGTGGATAGAAGGATCTAGTACAGTTCCTAGCACATGATAGTTCTCAATAAATGCTAGCTGAATCCTAATCATCTAAAAGGTTAATAGTGTGCATATATAATATTATTTTATAAGAGAAGTGAATTGTATTAGTTATTTGTGACTCTTAAAATATTTTATTTATTATTTTCATTTTATGTGTATGAGTGTTATACCTACATGTAAGTAAGTGCACCCGTGTCATGCAATGCTCACAGAGGACATAACAAGCTGTTGGATCCCCTGGAACTGGAGTTATGGACAGTTGTTAGCTGCCATGTGGGCACTGGGCTTCGAACCTGGGTCTTCTGCAAGGACAGTTAGTGTTCTTAACCACTGAGCCATCTCTCCAGCCCCAAATTAGATTAGTCATCTGTGACTCTTAAAAAAATTTATGTCAGTCCTCTGGTACTTTCCCACCTTCAAACACACATTCCAAGAACTGGAAGGCTGTAAAAAGGCAAAAAGAAATCAGGACTCCTGGGTCTATAACCTCTAAAACAGGAGCACACTGAAGTCATAACTAAGAACTCTCTGAATGGGCTCTTGGAAGGAAATTCAGTCAGAGAACACTGTTGACAAAAGCCACTGCCCTCCAAGAGCAACCTTCAGAGTTTCACCAAATCCAGATCAGGAGAGTCAATAAAGAACAGAAGGAATTTCAGAGTGTTCCAGATCAGGAGAATCAGTCCAGAATAGGAGGAAATTCTGTCAGATGAACCTGGCTCCAGAATCTGGGTACACCCATCCATGGACTCAGAGGCCTCTTCCCAAACATGCAAATAGAGTGGATTTTTAAGATACACTTTAGAGGAAGGCAGAGACTTTTGTAGAGCTAGAATATAAGTCCTTTCCAAGTATTAGTGGCATCATCTTTTCTTCTGATCACCCTGGTTGTCTACACTTTAGGTAGGTGTAAAAAAGGGGCTTAGTATGTAGATTCTGTGTTCTCTCCAGGAAGTCTTATTTTTCTTTCTTTTTTTAGACAGGGTCTCCTGTAGCCTAGGCTGGCCTTAAACTCGCAATGTAGCTGAGGATGATCTTAAACTTCTTATCCTTCTGTCTCTAGCTTCCAAGATAAGATTAGAGGTGTATACCACTATGCCTGGTTTATATGGTGCTAGGGATTGAATCCAGGGCTTCATCATGTTAGGCAAGTACTCTATCAACTAAGCTACATCGCCAGCCTCAGAAGTCCTGTTTTCTATACCTCTCTTCCAGTGCTTCTTTCTTCACCTCTGAAATGTTAAATGGCAAGGTTACTTTCATCTGCCCATCAAATAGTCCAGTTCCCTGCCTCACAGCACTAAAGCTTTGCATAAACACTGATGGGAAACTCTTCTGTTCTCAGATATCAACAGCAACAACAAAAGTCTACTTTAGTTTACCTTTCTCCCAACTCTGTCAAGCAAGAAGTTCATCCCTGAACTTCCCTGATGCAGCCTGGGCTTGGTCTTGGTAAGAAGGTGGCAATTCTTTCACTGTATTTTCTCCCCAAATGAGGCAGTGCCCTCTAAGCAGTAGAACCAGCATGGCTGCCTATGTGGATCTGTCTCTACTCGCAACTGTGGATTGCATAAGAATAATTAAATAAAGACGCTTTAATTGCTCCCTACCACACCTTTGTAAGGCACTCTCAACAGTGGGTCACTTTAATCCAACAGGTACCTTTTAGGTCTGCTCAGAGACTCATGTAACAGTCTCAATCAATCCCGTGTACAACTCTTTTTCTCAATGTCTCTATGCTTGGTTCATCTTTCCCTTTTTTTCTATTTCACAGATTTCTAAGTCACAAAGCTCCCAAAATGTCCATTTTTCAAGGGGGTTTGGGCATGGTGACACAGGACTGTAATCCCAGCACCTGGGAGGCAGAAGGAGGATCAGGAAGACAAGGTCATCCTAAACTATATAGCAAGTTCAAAGTCCAGTCTGTCTCAAAAAACAAACAAGCTGGGCATGGTGGTACACACTTTTAATCCCAGCAGGTGGCTCTTTAAGTTCAAGGACAGCCTGGTCTACATAGTGAGTTCCAGGTCAGTTGGGGCTACAGGGAGACCCTGTCTCAAAGAAGACCAGAAAAACAAAAACAAACAAAACAAAACAAAATTTTCAAGAGGTACTGAAGATATACATTTAGAGACGGAGGGTTTGCCTAGCATGTACAAGGCCCTGGGTTTGATCCCCAGTATCATTAAAATAAAAACAACCATCCCCCAAACTTTCAAGAGAAATGAAGTTCAGTCATTTTTACATATACAGTGTCTCAGACTTCACCAGGAAATCAGCAGATTCCTGCCCCCAATTAATCAGAATTGAATCTACTACTGGCAGCAGGAAAGTAGGCAAGGATACCATCACCATTTTATCCCATAGGCGAAAGAAAAAAATTTCCCAGAACTCAGCAAGGAATCCTATATTACAGGTCAGAGGACCTCTCCAGTGAACAGACTCCCCTACTTGCCCTGGAAGCCAGATGATATTAAGAGGTACAGAAAAAGCTGGGCATGGGGCAGGTGAGACAACTCAGTGGCTCCAAGCACTTGCTACACAAGCCTGATGGCTCGAGTTTGATCCCCAAAGGTGGAAGGAGAGAATCCACTCTTGGAAAGTTGTCCTCTAATTTCCACATGCATGCTATGGCATGCATGCACCTGCATACACATACTCACACTAATAATACATTTTTTCAAAAGCAGGGCCTGGTGGTACATGCTTGTGATCTCAGCACTTAGGGTAGTAGAGGCAGGAGGATCAAGAATTCAAGTCATCTTCAACTACATACTGAATTGAGGCTAGCCTTGGCTGCATGAGCCCCTGTGTCAAAAATGAAAAAAAAACGGGCTGGAGAGATAGCTCAGAGGTCAAGAACACTGTTCTTCCAGAGGACCCGGGTTCAGTTCCCAGCACCCACAGCTAACAACCGTCAGTAACTCCAGTTCAGGGGATCTGACGTCCTCTTCTGGCCTCCACGGGCTTTTCATGACACAGATGCACTTACATACATAAAGGCATAACACTCATACACATAAAATAAACAAAAAACAACAACAGAAAACAACAACAAAAAGGGTAGATAAATCCAACCAACTTTTTAATGTAACCAGTTCTGCCACTAGAAACCACCTGGTTTTGGGGACTCAGGGATGCAAACCATAGAGAGGAGTGTTAGAAGGCATAGGGTTAGCTTATATTGTCAGTGAGATAATAGAAGAAGGGAGAGATGGCTCAGATAGCAAAGTGCTTGCTTTACAAGCACAAGGACTTGAATTTGATCTCTAGAGCCTGTATGCATATATGTATGTATGTTTATGTATATATACATACACACACAAAAGCCTGGCGTGAAAGTACACACTTGTAATTCCAGAGCTGGGGAAGCAGAGACAGGCAGATCCCCAACTTGTTGGATGCCAGTTTAGCCTACTTGGCCAGCTGTAAACCACTACGCTCCTGTATTAGAAAAAGAGTGGTGGTGGACAGCACCAAGGAACACCACTTGAAGCTGTGCTCTGGCCTCCACATGCATGTACACACACACAAATAAACATTTTTCCAACATTCCAGTGTGGATACACCCATCCAACACACACACACAGATAATAGAAATAAGGGGTTCTCCAAGACCCAAATTCAGATACGGTTTTCAACATCAATTTCAAATGCAAAGAAAAGATACCTTTGATGGATAACCATTCTGAAGAAAGTAAAAGGATAGAAGGAAGAAGAAGAAGAGGAAAAAGAGGAAGAGGAGGAGGAGGAAGAAATACCAAATCTTGTATTTACTATTCTTCCTCTTATAAGTCAGAGCATTTAAGCAACTGAGGCTCTACACTTAACACTAGGAGCCTAAACTCTCCTTCCAGATGGACTGAAGGATAAAGAGGAAGCCTCCTTTGCCTCAGTCTAGCAGCCTGGGTACTAGGAAAGGGGGTGAGGGTACTAGGAGGAATGGTGACAATTGTGCCCCATGGATCTGGGCAAAGTAAGCATGATCACTAATCTCAGGTCAACTTGATGGGCTTCGAGTCACCGTAAACACAAACCTCTGGGCATGTCTGTGAGGGATTTTCTAGATTAGGTTAACTGAGGTAGGAAGACCCAACCGAAATATGGGTGACAGCATTCCATGGGCTGGGATCCCAGACTGAATAAAAAGGAGAAAGTGAACTGACTACAAACACTTATCAATGTTTCCCAACTGTAGATGCAAAGAAACCAGCTGCCTCACTTCTGCCACCATGCCTTCCCCATCATGATGGACTGTAACCTCAAACAGAGAGCTAAAATAAACCTTTCCTTAAGTTGTCTTTGCCAGGTATTTTGTCACAGCAGTGAGGAAAATAACTAATACAGTAGGGAATCAAGTCTGAGTATCAAGGTTGTTCCAGATCATGGCAGTGTAGGGCAGCTGCTGAAGAGGTAAGAGAAGGTGGCCAAAGATGTGTTCTATGGGCCTGAGGAGTTATGTGTGCAGACAGAGGGGATGCTATCACTTAACCTGGCTCTCTGCTTCTTATCACCTCAAAAATTCGAGGCAAACTTTTCCATTAAAACATTTAGTGGGCTGGCCTCCCTCAGGACAAGATGTAAAAAGCCCCAAAGCAATCCCCTTATCCAATCACCATTTTGCTCTTCAAATCTTTTTCTACAGATGAGAAAAATATGCAACGCTTCACACCAATCCTACATTCCTACATTTTCACAGAATGACTTTTAGCAGATGATGTGCTCTAATGCTCTTCTTCCAAGCAGGCAGGCAAGCTCAACTTTCCTTCCTTTTAAGACTCCTTTGAGATGGATCACAAGAGGCAGAAAAAGATAAAGGAGCCAATATCTTTATTGTATGAGGTGGGTAGCAGACAAAGATGTTTAAAGTTAATGGAAAAGAGGGCCAAGGGTATAGAGTAGAAAGGATCTAGTGCAATGGTAGAACATTTGCTTAGCACAAGCAAGGCACTGGGTTTCAACACCCAGAAAACCCCAATCCCAAGTTAAAAAAAAAAAAAGGCTCAAATATATTATCTAAAGTTATGTGTCAAGTTGAAGAAATATAAATGACATAATTATATAAACAAGAAATATAAATCCTCTATAGTCAAACCTTTTGCAACAATGGGTTAAAAAAAAACAGGCATAAGCATTTAACTGAAGCTATATGGTAAGAGGCTTATAGTAGTAACAAGAGGTTAACTTTGAGGGAGTAGGAATAGAGATGAGGGGAAAGGGGCTGTTGTTTTCATTATAAATTTTTACAGTGCAAAGAATTTGTTACCAAATGCACACACTCCTTTAATAATTTTAAAAAACAGGCTGCTCTTTAGGCACTTGTCTTCTTTTTAAGAAGTTCTTTCTCATGTCTTAAGGTCTAACACAATCTTTCTTTAAGGAGGACTCAACTCACTTTTCCCCTTTGACCTTAATGATAAAGGGGAAGAATGAATCTTCCATTTTTCCCTATAGAAACTCTGGGTTGACAGTCAAGCAGGCTGGAGCCCCACAGAAACTAGATAAATGCTTGCCCAAGTTCCTAAAGGGTGGTATCATCAGGGAAGAGGGCATTCCCAACCATAGCAGGCGGTGTAGTAAAGGCAGTGGTCTCAAAGCAGTTAAGTCAATATTGAATTAGGCTGAGAATGCTGTGCAAGTCCATGCAGCTGGTTTAAGCAGATTCCAGCTAGACAGCCCAAGCCAGCTCTAGGAGCCCCTGATGAAATCAACAGACGGCAAAGAAAGCAACCTGTATAGCTCACCTTTCAATGAACTAGTCCTCTTCATTCAAGTTCCAAATGTGATTAGAGTAGGACCTCTTTTGTCCCATGACAGTCATTGAAAGGATCTTCCCAAACTTCTTCCCCCAAATCAAACAATCTCACTTTGTTTCTTTATATGCTGTTCATGCAGTATGGACCCAGATGAGAAGGAAGGAAACTAAAGGTATGATTTCTGGTTAAGGGTGCTTTCAAGGAGTGAAGGGAGGGGGATTATGAGCAGACTGTACTCTGACTAACTACAGGGTAAGAAGACGTGGGACAGGATAGTATAACTACTTCCAGACAGGCCCAGAGTCAGAAGATGAATGGACTCCATATATCTTCTTCACTATCACAGGCCACAAGACGTGTTAACAGCACTAGTTTCCTAAGTCCCAGCATGCTCCAAGTTCTTTTTTCCAGTCAGTTTCATCCTAAAAACACGCTTTCTGGCCATAGAATTTGGGAGTTACAGATCAAGTATGGAAAGAAAAGCACAGATGCTCAGCAACTTAATGCACTGGAGGAAAAAAGCAGAATAGACAAAAACAGCAGGCCAGGAGCTTCTGTTTCAAAATGAAAGGTGGAAATGAAGGAAAATTCTCAAGATGACAAAATCACTAGCGATAAATACCTTTTGTTTGAGAACCCAGTGTTTTATAAACAAAGTATAATTCTTCCCCCAACCTACATCCTGCTATTAGCCAATTATTGCACTGGTGCCTATGGAGTGGGCCATTTTCCCAGAAAGACTATTCTGGAGGTCAAGTGAAGAAGTCACATGCCAAACCTAGGAGTCCTGATTCTGAATATCCAAGCTCTTTATGTTGTCTCATATTCCTTTTCCCAGGTACCATCCCTCCTCTTCCCAGGCCTGAATGCTTATAAAATTAACCAACACTAGTCTTCTAAGCTTCAGTCAGTAAAGTGATTCTTCTTTGATCTAGGCAGCAGTAGAAGGCACCGTTTTGTGATCTAACACAAGTCCCAAAATAAATAATCCAAAATAAAATTTCTCACAATCTCATTCAGTTTCCATGAAGGCCTGTTCATCTCCTAGTGACTGTTCCTGAGTAGCCAATAAAATGTAATCTGATTGATGGGGACTTCTTCAAAACTCTCTCCATCCTTCAGAAACACCCATCTGTCCAGAAAAGCCTGAGACAGCTGAGGTGCCCCTCCTCCCAACACATTTTCTTAGTTCAAGGTTTGGCTGATCCTGAAATAAGTAATTTATGGAGATAAAGAGTGTGGCAGAGAATACTTAAAGATCACAGGAAAAACAGAACTGAGGGAGACAAAAGAGCAGCAGCAAAATCCTAGAAACTGAAGGCAAGTGTCAAAAATTGGACGATCCGGATGGGAAGAGGTACTGTCGGATCTTCTCCTACAGGAACCAATCTCCAAAGGACTGGAGGATTGAGAAGGGAGAAAGGGAAGCCAAAGACAGCTTCAGGGATCCATAAGGCACCCCAGAGAAGGGTGAGGACTAAGGTCAAAGTAGATGGGTATGATGACAACGGCCTGAGATCCCCTAAGAAGAGGGGAATAGGTAATCCTTGGAAGCCAGGAGCTGGGTGGGTGGGTTACGGTGAGGTAATGGAATCGGAAGCAGCAGCCAGAGGAAAGGGATACAATCTTTAACTCTGGGAGATGGACTCTGTGCTGAGGTTGCACAGACTTCGAAGTGGGGCAAAATCGGAAAAGGGATGAAGGCGGAGTCCACGGGAAAGGTCTGGGGCAGGAGCACAAACGTCTAGGAAGGGCAAACGAGGATGGACATTACGGAAGGGGTCCAATGTGGAAAGGGTTCACGACTTAGGGACAGAGGCAACAGGGATAGTGTGTGTTGGTGTGTGTGTGTGTGTGTGTGTGTGTGGTATCCACGGGGCAGAGGGAGGAGCTAAACAGAAGAGGAAGCCAAAAAAGCAGAGGAAGACCCCAGGCGCGAGAGGAAAGGGTGGAGGTGAACCCCAGGATGCAGCTGCCACCTGGGGGGCAGTTTTGTAGTTGAACCCGGGTCGGGGAGGCTGTGCGGGGCAGGGTGGGACAGAGGCTCTCCACAGCAAAGGTGACTCGTGGGGCAGGAGGCGCTTACCTCCGGGGGACCCTCGCGGAGGGGTGCAGGCGGTCGGGGTCGGACTGCCGACACCGCCGCCTCAGCAGCAGCGGCCGTTACCGGATTCCATTGGCCGCGAACGCTTCCCTGACAGCGGCCGAGGCGGCTGCACTAGGCCCCGGCTGTGGGGCTGCCCGCAGCGCCGCCTGAAGGGCCTTCCTGCCGCCTTGGGCTGGACCGGACCCCAGCCCAGGACCCCAAGTGACAGAGACTCTCCAGCAGGCTTAGACGTAGGAGTCTGCCGAGCCCACTCCTCCCTCCCGAGGTCTGCTTCCCTGTTCCCCGCGGGTCAGGACACCGCCGAGTCCATAGTAATCTAAGGAGTCGGGAGAGCTGCCCGAATTGTGCCTGTTCAGAATCGAGAAGGGGGCGGGAAGAGCTGTTTGGACGCTAGGGAGGGCGGAGGCAGGAGCAGGAGGGAGGAGCTTATGGGTGGAAAAAGGGCCCAAAGTTTGAGGGCGGACCTGAGGCAGATTTTGCGGTACTAAGGGAACCGAGAGGGAAGTACAAAGACCCGGTAAGTGGCGGGGTGTGGGTGTACTGATCTACTGCGTAGTTCCAAAAGTACAGGAACATGCAAATTATATGTAAATCATCCCTTTGAGTTAGCCACGGAATTACTGTAACTGCCATCAGTGGTTTTTCCTCCTTCTCCTAGTCTTCCCCAATTTCCTTAGTCAGCCTATAGGACCACTGCTGGAGGACCAGAAAGCAGATGAGAAAGAGAAGGGGCGAGAGAGGACAACCACCCTCACTATCCTTTTTCTACTCATCTTTAAGGAAGGATGATGCCACGATTATTCCCCTTCAGGAATGGTTCAGCCCAACCGCCTCAATCTTTCACCGTTAGCTGCACTACTTAAAGACACGGTTCTGCCCCGACGTCCCTGCCTGGCTTGAGCAGCTTTTGGCCTCCAGCATCCATCCTGTAGTCTAGGCCTCAAACAAAGTTGGACAAAGCCAGGTTGGGAAAGGTGAGTGAAACGACAAAGGCTCAGAGGACATAATTCCTTCTTCCAAACAAAACCAAATTGCATAAAACTAGACTAATAGACAAAAGGGGGTCCTGTAGACAGGGCCTCTGGTGTTGGTTTGGGATTATTTGTTGGTTAGCAGAGAGCCCTCTTCTCCCTCAGAACTTCTGCCCCAATGCTTTTCCTAGGACTTAACTTTGTATCTAACCCCTCTAGCAGGAATAGGTATTCTGCATAGAAGATGCCATCTTCCTTGCACTTACAGGCTGATTTGGGATAATGAATGTAACCCTTAGGATCCCAGTTTCCTCTTTTCCTTCCTCCCCCCATCCCCTTTCCATTTTCCCTTTCTATTCCTTTTTTTTTTTTCCTTTTTAGAGCTAGAGTTTATTTTCCCCGGCTGGTCCTGGGCCCAGGCCATTCCCCTGCCTCAGCCTCTTGCATAACTTGAAATATATCCACAGGCCACCCAAGCCAGGCTAAACCTCAGTTTCTCTATCTACAAAGTTGATGTAATATTAACACTGTACAAGGTTTGAGAGGTTTGGGGAGGATCCAGAGAGTATAGGTTACTCTTATAGTATGTCTGTTATTGGAACATTAATACAAGTGATGAAAGGAGTGTCCTTGTTTCCATATTTAATTGGGAGGCAGATAAACAGCTTAAAATGCCTGCATAAAACAAAAGTAGAACTAATGGAGTTCTTACTTGCTGGAGACAGGACAGAACTTTGTTAAGTTTACACAGAAGACCTGGCTGTGCAGTATATGGTGAATAAACAAATGAACAGATGGCTTCTTGTAAACACTGTAAGGCAGAATTTAGAAGAGATATTAGATAGTATCCAGCAGAATAAAAAAAAGAAGGCCAGGTGTGGTAGTGCACACCTTTAGTCCCAGCATTCAGGAGCTAGAGGCAGGCAGATTTCTTTGAGTTTGAGGCCAAGCTTGGACTACATAGTGAGTTCCAGGCCAGCTAGGGCTACACAGTGAGACCAGGTCTGGGGAAGAAAAAGAGAGCATTCTGAGGGCCAAAAAATTGTATGTTATAGAATAGAAATGGAAATTTGCTCAAATCAGGATGGGGCAAACAGATAAACTAGGTTAAAGCAAGAGTACTGTAATGAAAAATAAACAGAGAAAGAGGACAAGAGCACCAGATACTTTAAATCTGTTACAATGGGTCTGGGATGGGTAATCACCAGTTCACCTGTCAGGACCCCGCAGTTCTTGGCCAGTTTCCAATCAGTTTTCCCACAAATATCAAAAGGTGGTGACCCTGTTGTGGCCTAGAGTTTAAAATGTTACACATTCCTTCAAGGGATAGAGTACAAGGGGCCACAACACTAGTCTTTGAAATACTATAAAAATTAGAGGTCTGGCAGGCCGGGCATGGTGGCACAGACCTTTAATCCCAGCACTAGGGATAGGGGCAGGTGGATCTCAATGAATTTGAGGCCAGCCCGGTCTACAGAGCAAGTTCCAGGCCAGCCAGGGCTACATAGTGAAACCCAGTCTCAAAAATGAAAACAAAAAACTCCCCCAGAGATATGACAAACCCAGGCATGGTGACACATGCCTTTAATCCCAGTACTCAGGAGGCAGAGGCAGGCGAATTTCTGTGAGTTCAAGGCCAGCCTGGTTTTCATAGTGAGTTCCAGGTCAGCTGGGGCTACAGGGAGACCCTGTCTCAAAAAGGCAAAAAAAAAGTATTATTTTTATGTGCATGAGTGTATTGCCTGCATATATGTAAGTGCACCTGTGTCATGCAGTGCCCTCAGAGATCAGAAGAGGGTGTTGGATCTCCTGGAACTGCCATATGGGTGCTGGGAATTGAACCCAGGACCTCTGTAAGAACAGCCGGTACTCTTAACTGCTGAGCCATCTCTCTGGTTTCATGACAGCCCCCCTCCCCCTTTTTTTGGTCTTTTGGAAACAAGGTCTCCCTGTAGCCCCAGCTGGCCTGGAACTCACTATGTAGACCAGGCTGGCCTTGAGCTCACAGAGATCCGCATGCCTCTGCCTCCCTAGTGCTGGGACTACAGGTGTATGCCACCACGCCCAGCTGTCAGCCCCCCCCCCTTTAAAAAAAATCTTTTATGTGTATGCGTGTATTGCCTGCATTGTAGGTGAGTGCATCCATGTTGTGCAGTGCCCAGGGAGGACAGAAGAGGCTGTCAGATCCTCTGAAACTGGAGTTACAGACAGTTGTCAGCTGCCATGTGGGTGCTGGGATTCGAACCCAGGTCTTCTGCAAGAACAGTGTTCTTAACCACTGAGCCATCTCTCCAGCCCTGACAGCCCCTTTTTATAGAATTTTTTTGTTTGTTTTCTAAAATAAGCCCAGGTTAGTCTTGTACTCACTATGTAGCCTAGATGGCCTTGAACTTGTAGCTTTCCTCTGGCCTTAGCCTTTCAAGTGCTGGGATTAAAAGCCTGAGCCAATACTTTTGGGAGGAAGTTTTTTTTTTTTGGCAATACATTTCTTCAATTTTTAGTGTGAGAAATGTGTTTCATTATGACATTTTTACTTGTGTGGGCATATGTGTGCACATACACTTATTTACATATATGTACAATTGTACTTTGCTCTAATCCCCCGATCCCTGCTCCTTCTTTGTGTTTTGAAACAGGGTCTCATGTAGCTGATACTTGTCTTGAACTCCTGCTTCTACCTTATGAGTGCTGAAATTACAACCATGTGTGTTATTGAGACAGGCTCCCCCCATAGCCCCAGCTGGCCTGGCACTCACTGAGACCAGGCTGAACACAATCGTGCAGAGATCTGCCTGCCTCTGCCTCTGCCTCTGCCTCCTGAGTGCTGAGCCACCACTCCTGGTATCTAAAGATGTGTGTGTGTGTGTGTGTGTGTGTGTGTGTGTGTGTGTATGTGTACGCAGGCGCTCACAGAGCTGATTAGGTAGCTGTGGGCCTCTTGACATGGATGCTGGGATCTGAACTTGGGTTCTCTTGAAGAGCAGCAAGTGTTCTTAACCTCTGAGTCATCTCTCCAGCCCCTCCACCTTATTTCTTGTAAAGGGAACTCTCACTGAACCTGAAGCTCATCTTTTCAGCTAGGCTGGTCAGTGATCTTAAGGGGTTCCCCCATCTCCACTCTACATTCCCCGGGGTGTGTAGTTAAGAGATGTGCTACCTTGCCTGGCTTATTTACATAGGTACTGGGGATCTAAACTCACTCATGCTTGTGTAGTAGGCACTTTACTAAGCCATCTCTACAGCCCTCCAGTTACATTTTAAAAATAGAATGAACAAAGCTACTTGAAAACCTATGCAAATTGGGCCCATGAGATGGCTCCGTGGGTAAGGGCACTTGATGTCAAGTTTGACAACCTGAGTTCCATACATCTCTCTTGGCTTTGCTAGGTTGTACTGCCATGCCACATGCTTACAACCTTGCTTCTTCTGGAATGCTCTCCTGGTTCTTACCTCTATACCTTAAAGGCTCAGCTCAACTTTGCCTGCCCTTTCCATGATACCATCCCAGACTGCTCAGCCCTGCCTGAAGTTCTTCATTTACAGTTCTTAGAGCATCGTGATTTTTTTTTTTTTTGGTCTTTTTTTAGGCAGGGTCTCTCTGTAGCCCCAGCTGACCTGGAACTCACTGTGTAGACCAGGCTGACGTCAATTCACAGAGCTCTGTCTGCCTCTCCCTCTGCTGGGATTAAAGGCAAGCACCACGACACCCAGTCAGCACTGTGATTTTTTTTTAATTGAATACTTGTTTGGTGCTTGCTTTATAAGACTCCTTATACTTACCTCTACTAGGTGTTGCCTCAGATCCCCTGCTGATCTATGCTGTTCCCCTGGGCTCCCATGGCTCTCTGTTCTTACAACTCATATAACTGGCACTGTGCTGTGAACAAGATTTGCTTGTCTGTCTTCCCAACTAGAATGTTTGAGGACCGAGTCAAAGTAAACCAGCTCTAAAAATGCCTTAGCACTTATATAACAAGGAAAAATATCAAAACCACATTAATGGATTCCTACTTCTGGCAGTATAGATAAAAGAGCTCTCTCACTAAAATACAACTAGAGTTTGGATAAGTTACAGCTATTACGCAATTGTTAGCACACTGCTGAATTCATTAGAAAGTAAGGGAAAACAGTAAAGGAGAAAAAAAGATAGAGCATTAAGCAGAAGGAGGGTTCCCAGGAACAAATGCCAAATCAGCACTGTGAACAGCTGAAACATAGGTCTAGTTAATGAGAGGGTTAAAAACCTGGGGCTTCTTGATTAAACTTGGCCTTCTCCCACCTTGAACCCTGGGCCATGTACTGGGCAAGCACTCTCCCACCAAGCTACACTTGAGCCCACCAAACCTGGGAAGGGGTTAACACTTCCAGGTTGGAAGCATACCCTGGCTCCTGGCAGAAGCAAATGTAGATCCTCTCTGGAAGAAGTACCTCCAGTTTAGGCTTTTGGGATTCCTACAAAAAACCCCAAACTACAAAATATACGAGCTGTGTAGCTACTGTGGGCAGGAGATAGAGATCATCACGACAGATTTGGATATCCAAATAAGTCACAGGACATAAAGGAATCCCAGTAAGTTTCAAAAAATACTTTCAGAGACATTTTGTGGGGCTAGAGAGATGGCTCAGAGGTTAAGAGCATTAGCTGCTTGCAGAGAACTAGGGTTCAGTTCCCAGAACCCACATGGTGGCTAATAACATCCAGTTCCAGGGCATCCAACACTCTTCTGACAACAGCAGGCACTGCACCCACATGGTATATGTGTAGGCAAAACACTCATACACATAAAATATATATATTGGTCTTTTTGAGTCAGGGTCTCCCTGTAGCCCCGGCTGTCCTGGAACTCACTATGTAGACCAGGCTGGCCTCGAACTCACAGAGATCTGCCTGCCTCTGCCTCCCGAGTGCTGGGATTAAAGGCGTGTGCCACCATGCCTGGCAAAATAAAAATATTCTTTAAAGATTTTTTTTTTGTGTGTGTGTGTGTAAGTTTATTGGGGTG